ATGATTTACCCTCAGATCCAAAAGGAAAGAATAGAGGGCAGCAAAAGTGCCTGGGATGGCTTTCAAGTTTAGGATAAAATGTAGATTGTGTTACCAGTTACCTATGTGATGTTTATCATGACCATGCTTTACTCTCTGCCTCAGTTTCTCTATTTGAAAAATGAGGAAGTTTGATTTGATGAGCACTCCCAGGTACCTAAATAAGGTTTGATTAAAAGACATAGGTTCCCCCACTATGGTTTCCGTGTAGGTCCTACCTCCCCAGCCATCCAGAGAAAAGGACCAGGTAGGGGATGGGAAAGAAGGCACTAGCCTCATCAAAACAGTGCCTTAATTAAGATAACGATTGTAAGAGAGACAAATATCCCAGCCATATCCATCACTGTGTAACCTGGGAAAGTCACGTTACCTTTCAGAACCTCAGTTTCTTCTAAATGGAACTTCAAAGGGTACTCAGCTTGTCATAGTCACCTAGGCTAGTATCAGTTCACAGACAGCACTCAGAAACAGTTATTGTTTTGTTAATCATTATTGGTTGCCAGTTGCATTGCACGCAGACCCTATTGTTAGACATACCCCTTCTTATAACAGGACTGCACACATATGTGTCCATTCCAGGTAGTATTTCCAATGACAATAAAGTTCTTTACCAAAGCAGCAACCATGTCACAGACACACCTGGAAAATTATAGGTCAGTGTCTGCATACCAATAGTCTTCATTCCCATGGTTCCTAATCAGCCTGAAGGAGGTGACAGCAGCCCTTTCCATGAAGACCAGTTTTACAGAGCTGGGAAGGACTGAAGACTACTTCTTACCCAAGATAGAATGTAAAAAGAAGGGATCTTCCCATATTTCATGTAGTGTTACTGAACCTAGAACTTTAGAGCACTATGCATTGGACTGAAAAAGACAATTAAGTGATGTGTCCAAGACAGACTTCCATTTCCTTACCTGGAAAATGGAGTTAATCACAGAACCCTCTTCCCAAGGTCATTGCAAAGATTAAAGGAGCACACACATGACACATAGCAGGCATGCAAATAGCATTAACTGTATTCTTGTCTCTCTTCCTTTGTGGGTGTTATTTGACACTGGAAACAGCCCAACAAAGGGCATTTAGAAATGTCCTTTAACTGTGACATGTGTGAAGTAGTAGAGGTGGTCTAGGGGCCAGTCTGGAAATCTGACTTGATCCCTGGCTCTACCTCTGTGACCTTCCACTGATCACTATCACTCTATAATCCAGAGTTTTCTCATCTATAACAGCGCTGTCCAATAGAAACACAATATAAGCCACCAAATCAACTGTAAATGGTTGTAGGTGTCACTTTTTATAAAACATCAAAAGAAATACGGAAATAGGAAAATGAATTGAATACTTATTATTCTCATTTCAATGTATCCCCCACGTTATCATTTCATTTGTTCTTTGAAATCCTTGTGGTTCTTAATTACAAGGTAATTTTGGCAGTTTATCTGGGGATGTTTGGGGTTATCAAAACCAGGGGCAGGAGGGGGCAACGTGAAGCATGTTCTTGGTAACCTGACAGTCGAGGCCAGATCTTGCTAAACAACACAGGAAAGACCCCTACATCAGAGGATTGTCTTGTCCAAACACTAAACAGAAGACGCTGGTTGATACTTGTAACAAATCCCTGTTTGGATTGGAAGCTTGTCAAGGGCTCATTAGGCACACGTGGCCTGTGGCTACCACATTTGTCTGTGCAGATCTTTAGTGTCAACACTTGGGCTTGAGCTTTAAAAAGTCAAGGATTTAGAAGATGTAGTTTTAACAAATTGGTTTCCTGCCCATCCTTAAATAGCTGGCCAAAAGATTTCTGGCTAGTTCACCATGGCTGCCTAAGAACAGAGCCCATCTGTCCCTGGCTGGTTAGACCCTTTCAAAGCACCCACCCGCCCCAAGGAGACCAAGCCTGGGTCAAACAGTGAGCCTTGTTGTTCTTGGCGGGGGAGACAATGCTGCAGGCCCTGCTACCTGCCTGACAGAGCCATTGTGGCTCCAGCAGAAAAGGGCTTTGTCAGGATGGCAGCCGAGGAGCCCACAGTTCAATAGGGCCTTTTATGTGTGCCCCGATAAGATGCCCTGATGCCAGGCTTGAGAGGCCCTGCCCCCTCCTGGAGCAGATGGGGAGCCTGAGGCCCTGACAGGGTATGGAAGGCCCTGCTATAGGTCTTAGTCCTCTCTCCTTCCAAGTGCAGCTTAAAAGACAAACTTTACCAATTCTGGGAATCCCTGACCCAGCTCAGGACAGACTCAGTATGCCTGCTACCCCAGGAAAAGGACATCTAGCCAGGACCCTCAGACATAGTAGCTCCTCGGATGACAAATCCAGATAAAAATAAATGTATTGGAGAATACCTCTCTCTCTCCCTCTCTCTCTCTCTCTCTCCCTCCCTCCCTCCCTTCCTCCCTCTCTTCCCCTCTCTCTCCCTCCCTTCCTCCCTCCCCCCCCCGTCTTCACATCTGGGTACAGCTATGGCAAGAATAATTTAAATATACTCTGTTGTGCTTTCACAAGGCTACTAAGAAAAGTCACCAGATCTTGTTTTCTTAGTATAAATTTCCCAACACACACACACCAGTGTGGAGTGGGCATATTAATTAGTTTGGTTGTGGTAATCTTCATAATGTATGCACATCTCAAATCATCACACTGCATTCCTTAAATATGTGCAATTTGGGTCTGTCTGGGTGGGTAAAGTTTGCTAGTCAAGCATGAGCACTTGAGTGAGTATCCACAGCACCCACATACAAATGCTATGTCCCAAGCCTGGCACTGGTGGGAGGAGGGAAGAGCAGAGATGGGCGGATTCCTGGGAGCCTACTGGCTAGTCAGTTTCAACAGAAACAGTGAGCTCCAGGTCCAGGGAGCAACTCCGGCTAAAAGAAGTAAGATAGGTTGGGGACTGATCGAAGAAGACACCCCAAGCTGACCTCCAGCCTCCTGAATGAGTGAGAGCATCCACACACAAATGTACACACACTTACGCTCTGTACATGTACACACATGAAGTTCTCGTTTGTCAGTAATGCCTCAACACAACTGGAAGAAATTTCAAAGTCTAGCCAGAGGGAAACCATTTGCACACGCTTGCCTCTGTCCTTAGAACACAGGTGATTGAGTCCGAACGTGAGGAGGGTTTGGGGCTGTGCCATGGCCAGAGTTCCTGCCCTTGTGTACTGCAGAAATGCCGAAGTACAAGGTAAGAGGCATTCTCGTGTCAGTTCCTCCCTCTGGGGTAGCACGATCAGATCAATTGATAGTTTTCCACCTAGCCAGTTATTCCAGTTTCTTGTTCAGTGCTCTGATTCACATTTAGTCGTAAAGCTGCTCGGCTCCTTTGGACTGTGGTCTCACACACATGCGGTGAGAGGCAGCGCACGGGCTTCCGTGTGCTGTTCTTTCTGCAACGCCTGAGAGTACCCCTTCTCCCCCAACCTCTGCCTGTCCATCCCATGGCAATTCACACACAGAGAAAGCACAAACACGAAGCTGAGTGACTGAACCACAAAGCAAGTGACTAACCCAAAACACTAGAGGAAGCCAGGTGCTGAGAGAAACCACCCCTCAGTGCCCAGATGCCAAGCCAGAAGCAAGATGAGCAGGGGAGGGGTGCCTATAAGGACCAGGCTTGAGAGCCCAGTAGGCTCTGTAGTCATCTCACACTTCACATGGACTAGAAAGGGAGCCTACCTCATCAGAAACTTGATGAGGTAAAGCCTGTAGACACTGTGTCCAGAGATGATCCCACAGCCAGAGCTGACCTTTTGTCCCATTCATGTGTAGATGTTCATTTCCGTCTCGAGGGCCACCTGAGTTCCAGGACAAGTCACTTGCTCACCTTGCCTCGGTGTGCTCTCTGTAGATAATAAAGGTATGTACCCCATAGGGTCATCATGGGGATCAAGAGACTTAGAACTCGGCCTTGCGGCAAGCACTTCACAATGTCTTCATTATTCAGGTCAGGGTTTCACTGTGACCCACAGAATCAGTCTCATTTGTGGTCTTGTCTTTATAATCATCACCACCATCATCATCACCATTATAATAGTCGTGTTGCGGTATTCTGCCGGGCTGGCGAGATGGCTCAGTGAGTAAGAGCACAAGTCTGGTATCATGAACTGGATCCCAGGGACATGGTAGAAAAATAAAGATCTCTCAAGAGCTGTCTGTCCTCTAACTTTCCCATGAGTGTCGGGGCACGTACACTCACTCACACACACACACACACACACACACACTCACACAAACGCACACACATACTTAAATATTTAAGGTATACAAATACGATGATTTTATATGTACATATGTTACGAAATGAGCACCATAAACAAGCTAATATACACATGCATTCCATATATATGTATTAGTACACACATATACATTCCATAATAATTTTATGTATGTATATATATACACTCCACCACTCTCACATATTATGTAATCACAACTTTTATTATGTAAACATGTATATTTATGTAATTTGATTGTATACTATAAAATTTATAAATAATGATTTTGGAAAGCATCTGCTTCTAAATGATTGGTCTTAATTAATGTCTCCCAGAACTATATAAGAAAAGAATAGCCTGATTCATTTGGACCGCCAATCACTTCATTTCCCCGGCTCCATTCATCCTACCAGTCCCTGGCCATCCATTCACGAGACACAAATATGTATTGAACATTTAAGGGCATCTACTCTGCTCCCATCACCCACAGTGCCCAGCACCGATCAGACCTGTAAGTTATGTGATGAGGGTAAAGGAAAGAGGGAAGAACCAGGTTCTCAGACCTTTCCTTGACACTTCTACTCCCAAAGTGGCTTCCTCTGCGCCATCCGGGAGAGCATTGACTCTGCAACTGAGGGAACTAGATGTGGGTGCTGGCATCCCGGAAAGGCGCGCCCGGGGGACCCGCCCCCTCTCTCTCTCCTTCCCCTGGCACCGGCCGGCGACTCCGTGGCTGGCACCCAGCTGCAGTCGCACCCTGGAAGGGCACGGGCTCCTGCCCCAGTGTTGATTCCCCAGCGCCTGGTGTTGCCCAAGGCGCAGGGTGACTCCTCCCCGGGGACCCTCCCCTCTGGGGCGCGTCACTCTGTCACTCTCCCCACCCCTGGGTCCGGACCCCAACTGCTTCCCTCGCCCGCCCGAGCCAAGCTGGGACAAGTAGCGGCCACCTGCTGGGGAGCCGCGGACCTCGGGCGAGGTCTGCCCAGGTCTCCATGGAGTTGCGGGTCGCCAACGCCTACGGCAGCTGCGAGAACGGTGCGTGTGGCGGTAAGGGGACCTGGGTGGGCGCTGCGCTTCTTACCTTGTTCCCACCACTCTCAGCAACTTCGCCTCACTTGATGGGGGCACAAGCTAGGGGGTGGTGGTCAGCATCAGTTTCCTACCCGGTTCCCAAACTGTCCTGAAGATTCGGGTCTGGTGGAGATGTCACCTCCCCAGCGGCAGCTGCAGGGGACTGAGGAAGACTGACTGAGAGGGGGAAAACAGAGCGCACTGGGACAGGTGGCTTGCCTAAGGGGTAGCGCAGAGGGCTCAGGGGTAGTGTTGGGTCGCTGCAGGTACCTGCCCACGTGTCTTTCCATCACCCAAAGCAAAGAATAGAGGAGCAGAGAAGTTCCCCATCCCCAAATCCACACGACACTCTTTGGAAAGGAAGAGAAATGCTCAGAAAAGACCCTTGGTTTTCTGGAGCATTCTTAACTTCCCTAAACTGTCCCATTTAATCCCAGAAGCAAACTCTAATAAGCAGGCAATTTTTTTGTTGTTGTTGTACTTGGACAAAGTCTTGCTAAATTGTCCCGAACAGTTTCAAATGTATGATCCTCCTGCCTCAGGTCCATCTCTGCCAGGGAGTACAAGTGTGTGGCACCGGGTCTAGATTTTATTTCAAAATTTATTTATTACTACTGTGCATGTGTATGTGCATGCCTGTGTGTGTCTGAGTATGAATGGGCACACACGAGTGTGTGTGTGTGTGTGATGTGCATGATGTGTATTTATGGACGTGAGTGCTGTATTGAGGATGTGGGGGGTACAGGACAACTTTGTGATGTGAGTTCTCTCCTCTTACCTTCATGTAAATTCCAGGACTCAAGATCAAAGGGCTTCACCCAAGGCACCATCTCCCCAGCCCTAAGCCTAGGCTTGTAAAACTTTTGTCATTTTCCTTTTCTGTTCTTTTCCTTTGAATTCTTTTCTCTTTCTCCTTTCTTTTTTGCAATGTTGGAAATTAAATTCAGGATCTTATACATGCTGGGAAAACAATGTAACACTGGCCTTCATCCCCAGGGTGTGAGGTTACAATTTCACTGTCTATTCTAGAGATAGGGAAACAGAGGCTCTGTCAGGGCTAATAATTTGCTCCAGGTAGCATAGTGGGGAATGTGAATCACCTCTCTGATTCAGACTCCTGAACCTACACTGCTATTGTTCTCTGTTCCATCTGGAACTCCTGTCTAGGGGAGTGCAGCCTGTGTGGTGTTCCGAGGTCCCTAATGAGGTCCCTTCTTCAGCAAAGCCAGCTCTGAGGTGTTGACTGACCTTAATCTCCTCAGCAACCAGGCAGGCCATTTTAAACTTCACCTCTTAATCCAAGGTAGCAGGCTTCCTTAGTTCTAGAACATTCTACTGAAAAAGATAAAGATCATCAGCTTGGCACCCCTTTTCCAGATTGCATCCCCTCTAAATTGGGTTCCCTTTGATCGACAGCTCTCTCTATCCCGTCACTGTACTGGGAGAATTTGACTTAGTGGGAGCTGCAGAGCTGGGGGGCGGGGTGGGGGCTTTCTGCGCTGAAGCGAGCCCTCTGGCTCCACCCACTAGCTGAGACCTGAAGAAGCAGGGGAAAGGTGAGAAGCAGACTCTGGCTTTCTGCCTGCATTTCCTGGGCTCTTGGGCAAGGATGCACCGAGCTGGTGGAACAGGAGGGAGCTGTGCAGAACCAGTCTGGCTAGGCCTCAAGATGATGACTTCTTGTCTCACCATCCCATGGTGGAAAGACAGATGTGTCACAGCGAAAGACACCCAGATATCCCCTGGGAGACTTCAGTCCCCAATCCAGCAAATCTATTCTCTTCATGGGACCTCAGTTTCCCCCAAGAATACAAATGGATTAGGTCAGCTGCTTGGGGTTTTTGTTGTTTTCTGCTCTATTACTTTTTTACTTAGCACACAAAATAGTGGGTTTTGCTAAGACAATTTGATGCACATACATAATTGTGTCTTACTCATATTTGCTCCCCCTCAACTTTCTGCTGCCCTTCCTACCTCTCACTATTTTTTAATGAATGACTCCTTTTCCCCATCTGGTACCTGGGTTGGAACCTACAGACTTGCATCTCCCAGGCAACTACTCTACCTTTGAGATACACCTGCTACTGAGCTACATAGACCCCCTGGATTTTCTTTTCTTTTTTGTTTTTGTTTTTAGAGGAAGGGTTTCTATGTGGCTTTGGAGGCTGTCCTGGAACTAGTTCTTGTAGACCAGGTTGGTCTCGATCTCACAGAGATTGCCCTGCCAGTGCTAGAATTAAAGGCCTGCGACACCACTGCCCGGCCTCCCTGGGTTTTCTAAAGGGCTCTTCTACGCATTCTCCACTGCTCTGGGTCAAGTTCAAAAGGTCAATTTTGTCCTTATTCTGCTCAACCCAGATGCTATTCTGATGCATGTGTGCCAAATTTCAAGCTCCCTGGCCTTAGATCTGGGGTCAGCTTGGTCTAAGAGAGGTCTGGCCTGGGCTTAGGTCCTTGGCACTAGGGTCTAGGCCTTTTCTGGAGAGATCAGAAGCTAAAACACCTACAAAGGGCAATAGCAAGCAAGAATTGTGGGAGCAGGGTAAACTGAGGAATCTCAGGGGCATGTCTTCTGAGACCGACCCAGCTGCTGCCTCCAAGGCTGGCATAACCAGATAGATAAACTCATCTTCTGAGCTTCAAGTGCAACCCCCACTCTGAATGTTCCTGGGAAAGCTCCCCATTTTTGACTGTTTGCATCAGGTTTTTGTGTTAACACAGAGGACACAATGAAGGTGGATCCCGCACATTCCTGCCCCATGGGGAAGGCTGTTTATCAGAGAGGGTGGAGTGGTCCTGAGCAGAGACTCAGTCATCAGGTGTGGATGGATCTACTTCTGGCTTCACCTTATTACAGGTCAGATGAGATCAGGTGTGTTCAGGATGGAATGGTCCTAGACACATCTTTATTACAGATAACCCTTTAGGAAGGTAGTTGAACGCAAATTCTCCTACTGAGGGCCTAGAAATGGTCGTTGTGACTGTTTAACTGAGTGGTTGTTAAGAGTCCTCAAGGAAAACTCTAGAACAGGAGCCATGTACATGGTAGCACTGGTACAGTCTTGGTTATGCTTTCTTATGTTTCACTGGATTTGTGTAGCTTTGTGTTTCACTGAGGGTCTGCCCTTTGTTCCCCAAACTGTCCTTGGTGTTTGTGCTAGGAGGACAGACAATTCGGGGCCTGGCTCTGGGCCTTAAGGAAAGAATCAGACAAGAAAAGCAAATGGCAGACAGTTCTTCATGGGATGGCAGAGCACCAATCCAGTTATGCCCAGAAAGAGTCCCCAGCCACTGACCCAAACACCGCACATCTCAGAAGTAAGTCCTAGGATGATGAGGTCCCATCCACAGAAAGCTCACTCCTCAGTTGCCCCGAGGCTGACCCAAGTCTGGGTGGACTATCTGCCTGGTGACGTCCCTCCTCTACCTAGTGTTGGTTTTAAAGTGAAGAGGCCCCAAGTGAGCTTTATGAGTTATTGGAGAGTCACAATCCCAGGGGCTGAGAGGGGATGGATACTGAATGGATGCAGTGGTGGGGCCCTCCCCAGTGTGGGAGGTGCCAGTACCAAAGGGTGGAATTCTGAAACCCAGACCATCCGTGTGTTAGTCAAGGCTTCCTAGAGGGACAGTTCTTACAGAATGAGTACATATTAAAAGAGTGTGTTAAATCAGCATATGTTGCAGTAGTAACAACAGTTGAAAACAGAATATTTCCTTGGTCCTCAAGGCTGGGTAACTCAGAATTTGGGGTAGTCCCACACTGGAGAGCCCACGAATCTGCTAGCTGCTCCGTCCATGAGGCTGGGGGGCTTAGCAGTCTCTATCTGCTGCTAAAATCCCAGAGGTTCCTGGAGGACAGCTGGTTCTCAGTGGATGGCAGAGTCCTATACATGAGCATTCTGTCATCAGGAAAGCGTCTATGTCTGTATACGTCTTTAGTTATGCCTAAAGTGGGTGTGGTTAGCCGTGTGGTAAACCACCCTTTTATTACCTCATCTGTATGCGCCTCTAATAAGTCACATGGCTAATGGTGGAGTACTGTTTCCTCCTACAATTCCCCTTTTAGTCTAAAAAGGATATTTAAACTTAAAACAACTAACTTGTGTCAATGAACAAAATGTATCAAACATCTATCCCATCTAAACCTAAACTTATCTGAAAGAAACACCCAAGTCTGAACACCTCCTTCCAATCCCAACTCTAAAATAATTGAAAACTAACACTAACAGGTGTAAACTATCTTATAATATCAATAGTAGGGAGAGGGGGCGTGGAATTAGGCCTGGCTAGTGACGTAGTTCACTGCCTACATCCGTTTACATCTTTAGTCATGCCTAAAGTGGGTGTGGTTAGCAGTGTGGTAAACGCCCTTTTATTACCCCATCTATATGCACCTCTAATAAGTCACATGGCTAATGGCGGAGTACTGTTTCCTCCTACAGGAAAGGAAACAGTAAATTAACCCCAGACGAGAGGGAAGGAAGAGTGAGCAAAAGGGGAATAGTCTTCCCGCTGTTGTACCCTTTCCACCTGAGGGTGCCGCCCACATTTGGTGTGGGTTTCTTACATCAGTTAAGACAATCAGGACAAGCCCTCAGATGAGTTTCCCTGCTCAGGTGATGGGGATTCACAGCAAGCTGACATTCAAACCAACCTCACAGTCTGCACATCCTTGAACAAGTACTGCACCCTCATGGACTCCATTTCCTTGTCTGTGGAATGGGAGTTAGAGAAGTTGCCTATTTGACAGGAGGTCCAACAATTTGATAGGTCCATGCAGATGAAGTCCTTAGTGAGAAAACAGCTAACAGCATAGAGAATTGGAAGTAGTCTGGTTTTGGCTGAGGTTTGGTGTGTGGGTGGAGCCATGGAGCAATAGAAACATGAAATCAAGGTCAGCGTCAATTCCAGCATATCTGAACTGCGGTCCAGCATATTGGAACCACGCCCACGTCCTCAGCCTGACTCTCAGCATACTTCTCCCTCTAGGTTCCATAGTCAGCCTCTACTGTGCCTCCCAAGAGGTCCTCTGTCAGATTGTCAGAGGCATCAGCCCTGAAGAGCCCAACAATGCCACCTTGATCACCTGGCAAGAGAGGGTCAGGAAGAGGTATGGCTTCTACATCGGTGTGGGCCTCGCCTTCCTCTCCTGCCTCCTCATCGGCAGCAGTGTCATCCTTAAGAAGAAAGGTCTCATACGACTTGTGGCCACAGGGGCCACCAGGGCAGGTAGGCTCCTTGGGCAGGAGGGGATCGACAAGGGGCAGCTAAGTCCTTTGTGGATGACTTCCGTTCACAGGGACCCAGGCTACAAGCTGAGAATGGGGCCTCAGGTGGGCACCAGAGGCTCATTGTCAACCCTACTAAGAATTACTACTGCCAGTATCTGGAAGCCTTCCTTTACAATCCAGTATTTCCTGAGAATCCCATGATGTACACATTAGAATAAAAACACAGCAAAGCCTCAAGATGGAGAATCAGGCACTCCAAACTTAACTCAGCTTGGATTCTTTTGTTTGTTTGTGTTTATTTTTGTTTTTTGAGACAGAGTTTCTCTGTGTAACAGCCCTAGCTGTCCTGAAACCAGCTCTGTAGACCAGGCTGGCCTCAAACTCACAGAGCTCTCTCTGACTCTGCCTCCCATGTGTTGGAATTAAAGATGTGCACCACCACCGCCCAGCTCAGCTTGGATTCTTACCAGCCTGTCCCGCAGAAAAAGTCACAACTTCTCCTGTGAAATTGGACCAGAAAAGCCTCATTCCACACCATGTCATACCCTCAGGTGCCCTACACATGGCACCGAACTGAGGCACGGGCACTGAGTCTTGCTGGTTTGGAAGACTGAATGTGATACACCGAAATAGTCCTCAGGAAATGACATCACATGTAAAGGAATTCACATCATTGATTGCTTGCCTGCCATGTGCCAGATGCAGTGTAAAACCTGGGGACACAGGGTCCCTGCAGTACAACCGTCAAGTGGGAGAGACAGACAGCCAACACAAAAATCCTTCCACGGTGTGCTGAGTGCCTTCACGGGGAATATACAGGTTGCTACAAGAGTATTTTCTGCAGGTGGCTACAGGAATATGTAGAAGTATGTAAAGCTCAGATCCAGTGCAGAAGGGAAGTTTTCTATAAAACTCGATTCTTATACTGAGGCCTGAATGATAAGGCGGTAGTAGGGAAAGGAGAAGAGGACGATTCAGTGTCAGGAGCAGAGAGTACCAAGGCTAAGAGGTGAGCCTGAGCCCCATGCAGGATGAGCAGAGAGTGCAGAGGCAGGTGAGCTCAACAAAGACAGCTCACCAAGGGTCATGGAAACTGCACTGCAGAGTTTGAGTGTGAGTATTAAGTTACTCACTGGTGTTTTAGGCAGGGGAGTGACAATCCCATTTATGATTTGAAAAGGGTCCGTGTTGCTAGGTAGAGAGCGGATTAGAGCCTCAGAGATGAACCACTGAATTGAGTGAGAGGAGAAAGTAGGGCGCTGGAGACAGAGACACATGGTAGATTCCAGAGATAGTTTGGGAAGGTGGAACTCACCGGCTTTGATGTTTTTGATGTGTCCTGGCTCCCAGGGGAAGGCAGAGGAAAGTCAACGATGACTCAGGTTTCTGACTGAGCAACTGGGAAGAGGTGGATGGTGCCATGTTCTGCAATGAATACAGAGAGAAAAACTGGTTTTGGGAAGATGGCGTGTTCAAGTTTGGACCTGTTCATTGCCTGGCTCTCCCAGGAGACTCTGTGCTTTGGAGACAGACCATTACAATTACAATTCTGGTTTCTTAACTGTTGTCTGTCCTAGTTTTCATCTATTTCTGTGATAAAACACTATGGGCAAAGCAACTTTAGGAGGAAAGAGTCCATTGTGAAGGGAAGTTGGGGCAGGAACCTGGAAGCAGGAACAGAAACAGAGGCCATGGTGACTGGTTGCTTACTGGCTTGTTCCTCATGGCTAGCTCAGCCTGATTTTGGGAGAGGGGTGTTATTTGTTTGTCTGTTTGTTTTTCTGAGATAGGATTTCTCTATGTAGTAGCCCTGGCCATCATGGAACTAGCTTTGTAGACTAGACTGGTCCAGTCTGCTTTTTTTTTATACAACCCAGGACTACCTTCCCAGGGGCAGTATCAGCTACAGTGGGTCAGATCCCCACATACAATACCAGTAAGGAAAATGCTCCATAGACTTGCCTACAGGCCAATCTTGTGGAAGCAATTCTATTCCTGAAGGTCCCTCTTCCCAGACTCCTCTAGTCTATCAAGTTGGCAAAACACTAACCAGCATACCATCCCAGCAGGGATGGAGACAGAAGGATCATGAGGTCAAAGCCAGTTTAGGTTACATAGTCAATTCCAAATGGGATATCTCCAACTTACTTAGTGAGATCCCTCTTTAATGCCAAAAACTAAGCAGATCATCTGCAATTACAAGTGATAAGAATCATGAAGAATTATTTCAAGGGAGAAATAATAGAAATCAGAGGCCAGACTAGGCACCTAGGGGAAGCAGTAGAGACCTACAGATTGGGTATGAATTCAAGCAAACACTAAAGGAGAGATTCTGCACTCAGGGAGAAACTTGGGGCAGGAAAGAGCTAATCATTCTTAAAGAATATGAAGAGTGCAGCAGGGGTGTTTGCAGAGGTGGGCAGGGTCAAGCCTGTTTCCATAAGGATTGGGGCATTATCTCAAGAGTAAGTGGAAGACACTGGGCAGCTGTACATAGAAAAGCCATATAATCTGATTTGTATTTTTCAAAACCACTGACTGTCATAAAGGAAACAATTTGCTATGGGGATTAGTGTGGAGTCACAGTAACTCCGTAACAAAGCCATTGCTTTCTTCTGGCCAGACATGATGGAGTAGGAGGTTGACATTGCTGTACTTTTTGGTGACAGAATTATCCATGCAGACTAGATTCAGAAGAAGAGGAGAGAAGGGCCTCTGGTTTCTGGAAGTGTCATTTCCAGAGTTTCATTTAACAAGTTGCAGGGGTATAATGAATGTCAAGAGTCACATTTAGGGCAGATATCGGAGTATCCGTAAAAAATCAGAGATGCCAAGTGAGTAGTTTTGATGCACAGCTGAACTCAGAAGACAAGTCAAGCCACAGACACAAAAGAGGGCAACTGTATATAGATGCTAAGAAGCAAGTCCTGGGGGACAGTTAAGGGAAAAAAGCAGAACCCCACAAAGTGTCACTAACTTCTAACTTCGTGTCTATTTCCTTCTATAGTGAATGGAGGCTATGGCTACCTGAAGGACCCGATGTGGTGGGCTGGATTTGCTACCAGTAAGTAGCTTCTTTTACTATTAAGAAGAGGGATCTACTGACAGCTGGGATGGAGGTGAAGGGAAGGGCAGATGGAGCAGTTATATCTCCATTATAGACACTGAGAGCCCAAGGCCAACTTCCTTGGGAAAACCTTGTCCCTGCAGACATCTTATGTTGAGAGATCACTTTCTAAGCCCAAAGAAGGCCTCTTCTATGAAGATAATGATGCAGGGGCACAGCTTGGGATGTAACACTTGCCTAGCATGCACAAAACCCTGGGTTCAGTCCCAAGCACCACATAACAGAGGTGGTAGAACATGCCTATAATCACAGCACTCCAGAGGTGGAAGCAGAAGCAGAAGCTCAAGGCCACCCTCAGTTACACAACAAGTTCAAGGCCAGACTGGGATATAGAAAATCCTGTTTCCTTATATTTTTGAATGGCCACTGAAATACAGGGCCCTGGTAACACTGCTTTTTGGCCACAGCCTTGGCCTCTATCTGGTAGGCTTTGGGAACTTAGAGCAACTTACCTATATCGTGACAATTAAGAGTGTGACCCACTTGAACATGGCTCTTCTGAAGCTTTGCCTAGATATGTACACTCGCATATTGTCCCCACTGTGCACCTACCCTTTATGGCTATCAAAGCTTAACTTTTAAAGTATTATTATCACTGCTATCATCATCATCATCACCAGTGTGTGTATGCGGAGGATGTCAGGCATCTTCCTCTAAGGCTTTCATCCTTGGTTTTTGAATCAGGTTCTCTTACTGAACCTGAAGTTCAGTTCACCATTTCTGCTAGGCCAGTTGGCCAGTAAGCTTGCAGGATCTGTATATCTCCACCCCACCACACTGCAGCTACAGGCACACTCAGCAATGCCTGGATTTTATGCCCATTCTGAGGACTTGAACTCAGGTCCTCTTGCTTGTACAGCAAGTGCTCTTACCCACCAAACTATCTCCCTAGTCCAAAGTCTAATTCTTTTAGGTAGAAATTAACACTTCCTGTCAATAATCTTCCAGTTAGGTCGGTCCTTACCTTGGGCAGAGCTCTCCTGCTGACCATTTGCCTTCACACAGGAGGCCGTGGCTGCTCCCTACAGAAAAGAGATGGGGAAGGCTCTTGTAGACAAGGGCAGACTGGAAACTCGGATGGAAAGGGTGTCTGGCTGCCTGCTGATTCAGCCTTTTCTAGACCTCCTGTTGGTTCAGACTGTTGTCCCAGATATTCTTCCCCTGTGATAAAACACTGACCCAAAGCAACTCAAGAAGGAAAGGGTTTATGTGGTTATTGTCCATCATAGGCAGAAGACAATACAGGAACTTAGGGGCAGGAACTGAGGCAGAAGCCACAGAGGAGTGCTGCTTACTGGCTTGCTTCTCCTAGTATGCTCAGTTTGCTTTCTTATAAGCCCCAGGACCACTTGCCCAGGGGTGGCACGGCCCACAATAGCATGGGCTCTTGCACATCAGTCGTCAGACAGGAACTTTGGGCCAGTTTGACAGGGGACATTTTTTCAACTGAGGTTCCTTTGCTCACAGGACTCTAGCTTGTGTCAAGTTGGCAAAACAAAACAAAAACCTAGCCCACACAACTGTCCACAGTTCCCTTATGAAAGAGTAGTCCTTGAACCAAGCAGTACCCAGAGAATCCATAACTGTAATTGTTTCTTTATTTGATAACTCGCTTTCTAGAACTTCCCTTAAAGATAGAGATGAAAACATGAAAGCCTGTGAGACACACTTCAGTGTGGACTAAAAGCAAAAGGACATAAAAAAAAAAAACTATGGCAGCTGCACAGGTCACTGTGAGCTCAGGATTTTGGCCTTACCACCTTTACAGTGGGAGAACTCAAGAGTCTGGGTCTGACCTTATTTCCAGGCAGACAGCATATGGGTGGATCTTAAGGATTGCTGGTCTTGGATTTTAGGTACAGTTGAGCACTGACAGAAACCATCTCTGCCCAGATTCATCTGAAATGGATGTGGTGCCTTGGAGTCACACTGGCCTCTTTTCTCCTCTGATTTCCTAGTGTCCGCTGGAGAAGTTGCCAACTTTGGGGCCTATGCATTTGCACCCGCTACAGTTGTCACACCGCTGGGAGCACTGAGCGTCCTTATAAGGTCACTGTCCCCTCTTTTGCTGCCTCTGGTTCTTTCCTGTTTTTTTTGTTTTGTTGAGACCTGGATTTGCCAAATGGGGAGCAGCTACCTAGGACCCCAAACAGCCCAAGCTCTGGAAAAAGGGACATGCTGTCAAAAGCATTAGACCCCAGGACTATGGCTGCCATGGGCCTCAATTCTCCTCGATGAATTAAGAACATGAGCCTCAGTGTTCTTTTGTCTATAGTGTGTATGTCATGTATACACAACATGTATAGTTGTATATACAGACGCATGTACATATGTATACATGTACATGGAGGACAGAGATCAGAGTTCATTGTCTTTCTTAATTAGTCTCTACCTTATTTTTTTTAGACAATGTCTCTCACTGCTTGGAGCTCATCGATTGGTTAGGCTGACTGCCCAATAAGGTCAGGAATGCTCCAATCTCTGGACTCTCCAGGGTTAGGATTATAGGCACATATACCTGGCTTTTAGGTAGGTGCAGAGGATTTGAACTCAGCCCCTCATGCTTGCAGGGCAGGCACATTACCAACTGAGTCACAACACTACCCGAGTACTGATCTATACTCAAACCTCAGTAGTGATGAAACAAGAGGCAAGCCTCTTAGCCAAGGTGTAATTCATCCATATGTAAAACAGAATACTAATGATACACACCCAGAGAACTAAATGAGATAACAGGAAGAATGGATGTGGAACAAAATAGCTGCAAGTAACCATGGCTACAATAGACAGAGGAAAACTATGATAAAGCCATCTGAATGTAATCTGTGTACTAACTTACTTCATTCTTACATTTGTTCCTAAGACTCAGAGAGGTTAAGTACTTTGGCCAAGGTAACTTTCCAACAATTTCTACTTTATGATCTATTAGGTGGTAGACAAACCCCCTTCTTCCACTTGTATATGTCAGCATGAAGATCCTGTTGTCAAGTCAGGATCCACCCAATGCAGTGTAATCCCAGGACCCAGGAGTTAACAGCCGTGCTGTGCTATGTTGCCTCTCAGTAAAGACTTTGCAAACACTGGTTTTAAAAATTAGGGATCTTAGAGCCGGTGATGTAGCTGAGAGCAGGACACTCACCTGGTATGCCTGGGTTTGACTCCTAACATCCCAGAACAACCAGAAACAATAATACAGTAAAATAATTGATGCTAATCATTTGCACCTCTTATCACCCCCATCTTCTTAGGAGCTCTGACAAATCCTAGTCAACCACAGATAGCACCTATAATCTCTTCTGTATTGTTTTCTGCTTGATGACAATTTTGCAATGTTTACAGCTGTGAGACAAGTAGAATCCTCTCTCTCAGTGCACAACTGGCCTTGCTGCTATTACTGCTGAGTAGACATGCTTCCCAAATCTTATGTGTTTACAAATCCCCACTCCCCGGATGTTCTGAGAGGGATGGCATTCTCCACTGTTTGGTCCTGCCTGTGTAAATGCCATAAGAGTCTCTCAAATAGAACACCGTAGGTAAAACAGTTGGGGCTTGCATCTCATGGCTTGCTCAATTTGCTTCCCATGTGCCCCAGGACCACCTATCCAGGTATGGCCCTGCTCACTGTGACCTGAGCTGTTCCTCATCTATCATCAGTCAAGAAAATGGCCCACAAGCTTGCCCACAGGCCAAGACTTTTGGACACTACCTAGGTCCCCAGGCAGCCAATACATTTTTAATGTGAACTAATGCCGCCTTCCTAAAGCAAGTGAGCTCATGGTTCATTCCTAGCCAGCCCAGGCCCCTTTTTCTTCCCTCATCTAGAGGATCAGAAGGGAACAGAAATCATGTCACCAAGGAGCCAGAAGGATCTTGTTCAGTAAAAACTCTGAGAAGTATAAAGGCTTTCTTTAATGTAGAGGAAAACCCATCAGCTTTGCAATAAGATCAAAGTCCCGTTCAAAACCTGCTGTTGTCATTTACCAGTTAAAGGACTTGCTGAGTCATTTTAACTTCTACAAGCTCAGTTTTATCATCTGTAAATTGGGAGCAGTATATGTTAATTCACAGAGTTGTCAGATTAACTCTGACGCAGTACCTGTTAGGAAATACGTGCCCCAAGACATCTGTAATTATCATTGTGGTGGTTTATATTGGCATATGCAAGTGAAAGAGGAATAGATTCATTCTCTATGACCCTAGGAACAGAAATGTGGCAAGGAATAGAAAGTACCAGAAAATGCATTTCGGGTGAATAAGTGTGGCCCTGCAATGGACTAACTTGGCTTGTTCTCTACTGCCAGATGCATACAAGCCATGGTTGAAAAAGTCTCGTAGCAATACTACAGGACATTCAGTTGGTAGGGAGTCAGGCAAGAGTGGTTTGAAAGGCTCAAATAACCTGTCTTAGTTTGCTTTCTATTGCTGTGCTGAGACACCGTGACCAAAAGCAATTTAGGGAGGAAAGGGTTTATTGGGCTCACAAATTGCAGTCCATCATGGGGGAAAGCCAAGGCAGGAACTCAAGCCAGGAACTTAGAGACAGAAACTGAAGCAGGAGCCACATGGGAGCTTGCTCTTCCTGGCTTCATCAGTTTGCTTTCTTATACATCTCAGGACCACCTGCTCAAGAATGGTACCACCCACAGTGGTCTCTGATCACCCACATTCATCATCAGTCAAGGAAACACCCCACAGGCTTGTCAACAGACCAGTCTGATGGAGGCATTTGCTCAGCTGAGATCACTTCACAGATGACCCTACATTTGTCAAGTTGACAATAAACCAAGCAGGCTGCAACCCTTTGGTGTGTAAATGGTTTCCATTTCAAAAATAAAAGAGATCCACGTGTATTTCTGCTTCTCCAGCACACATTCCAACCCCCCTAGAAATACGTTTCTACTTTTGAAAGTTTGGGGTTGGATGGAAGGAATCTAGGAAGGCTTCTACAGAGAGGGGTGAGTTTTGAACTGTTGTCCCCCCTAAGTGTTTACTCATGTGTCTTTTGCGGGGGCTGGAATAGGCGCCTTCACTCAATCCCTTTCTCCCGTGCCCCGGTACAGTGCCATCTTCTCCTCATATTGCCTGGGCGAGAGCCTGAATCTGCTGGGGAAGCTGGGCTGTATCATCTGTGTGGCTGGCAGCACGGTGATGGTCATACATGCCCCCAAGGAGGAGAAGGTCACGACTGTTGTGGAGATGGCTTCTAAGATGAAAGACACAGGTAGGCTTCAAGCACTGGGCTTGCAGAAAACACTCCAGCATGAATTGTGTGTAGACCACCTAACTGAGCTCTGTCCATCTCTGTGCTGCCCCCTTGAGGAAAAGGTGAACAACAGGAAGGAAGTTAGGCAGTACCCTTTAGCCAGGCTTCCTGGATCAATGTAAAACATAGACAATTTATTGTTCATTGTGTGTGGAGCATTTCTCTAAATGCACACATTTTTATTATAAAAATTTTGTGTAATAATATGCATTATTTCATAAAACAGCTCTACAAGGAAAAACATCCCATTTTTGACCCTTTTTTTTTTAACAAGCGAGTAAACTAGGGTCTTAGAGTTTAATAACTTGCATGAGTTCTTAAGAAGTCTGAAGCTGAGACTAGAACCCACATGTGAGAGTGTAAATCTGGGCTCCTAGATACTGTGTGAATCCTTCACTGAATGGTTTATGTCCCTCCTTCCTGAAGGGTTCATCATATTTGCGGTCCTTCTAGTGGTGTCCTGCCTCATCCTCATCTTCATTGTTGCTCCACGTTATGGGCAAAGGAATATTCTCATTTACATCATCATCTGCTCTGTGATTGGATCCTTCTCCGTGACTGCCGTCAAGGGTCTGGGTGTCACTATCAGGAACTTCTTCCAGGGCTTACCAGTTGTTCGCCACCCCCTGCCCTACATCCTGTCCCTCATCCTGGGACTTTCCATCATCATTCAGGTCAATTTCCTCAACAGGGCACTGGATATTTTTAACACCTCCCTGGTCTTCCCCATCTACTACGTTTTCTTCACCACGGTGGTAGTGATCTCCTCCATCGTCCTCTTCAAGGAGTGGTATACCATGTCTGCTGTGGACATTGTGGGCACCCTGTCTGGCTTTGTCACCATCATCTTGGGTGTTTTCATGCTTCATGCTTTCAAAGATTTGGACATCAACCAAATCAGCTTGCCACACACACACAAAAACACAGCTCCAGCTCCTGCCCCAGAGCCCACCGTCATTAAACTAGAAGATAAGAATGTCCTTGTGGACAACATAGAACTTTCTAGCACACCATCACCACAACAGAAGCCCAAAGTATTTATGATCCATTCTTAAAGCCTGGAATGCACAAGTAAGAGGAGGTGCCCAATGTCCAGCCTGACCTCTCAAGTTCAAGACTACCAGGTTACTTTCAGTACATCTGTTGCCAAGGGCTATCCTTTTTTTTTGAGATATTCATTTATACCTCACTGCTGTTCCTAGAAGAAAAAATCCCTACCCAGTAAGGTGGCTGGCAGGACTTTCTAGGGATACAGCCTTGGTGACTAACTCCACTAGTATCTGTTGGAGCCAGCAAGACCCCAGAGCCTCTTCCTTCTGCTTCCTTCAGCACCATCTCTGTGTTGTTGGGGGAGAAGACAGAATTTGACCTGCTGAATGTAGCCCAGTTCAAGAACTGCCCTCAGATATTGGTCATCAGGAAATCCTTCAGACCAATTGGCCTGTCAAGCTGAACTTCTCAGCCCTCAGTCCAAGAATGGAGCTTGTGGAGGACTGCAGAGCAATCTGGGCCCCTCACCATCCCAAGGTGCACAGTAGGTGCCAGGTAGCCTGGTGTTTCCCGGAGATAGAAGCAAGATCCCAGCTGACCTTCTTACTGTGAAAGCCACCTGATGTCTCAGGGAAGTTTCAACTAGTCCATTCTCCAAGCACTCCAGCCTGGAGGTCATTTCTTGCTGTCCATGTCCCAAGCAGCACCACCATCCTTCCCTCTCTCTGTCCATTCCAAGGCACCAGTCATTGACACATGCACGCTGTAACCTTAGAATTCAGCAACCACAGGGGATGCCTCTTAGCCCAGACCTGATGGCCAAACTCCTAGCCTTCTCTAGGAAGAGAACATCATTGTGCTGTTACTCTGGAATATAGCAGAATGTGATTTCCATTGCATCAAGAAGTTGACCATAATACGGCTTGAGAAGGTAGAGGAGAGTGTGAGGTACAATGTCAAGATTGGCAGTATGGATTCATGGGCTCTCTGGAAACCTGGAAGTAACTTTTGGGCTGACTCTAAGACCCAGACAAGAACCCAGGCCCAAAAAGGTGTGAGACAATTTCTGAGCCATAGCTAGTCGGATTGGCTTTGAATCTCATTGAGAGTGTGGGATTGGCACAGCCTTGTTGGCCCAACTAGGACCGAGTTTGTCTCCACTGACATACTCGCTGCCCAAACTGGAAGCAGCATGCCAGGACTCCTCCACCATCACTTGCCCTGGGGGTCATCTTTGATGACCTCACATTTGGTCAGAGGCATGCATGTGACAGTAGATGAGGAGAGAATTGGGATCCTTTTCTTCCCAGCTTCTTCCGGCTGTGAAAGGAAGGACCACAAGAGAGTGAAATTAAGAGCCAGTCCATAGGAAAGTGATCTGTAGTGTGGGTAGAGTCCTGTCAATCTCCCTGCCTTTGCTGTCTTCACATCTGATCCCCTAAGTGCAACCACACCCACATCAAACCCTTTCTAGCCTTGGGCAAGCTCTTAGGGCAGATCAACACTATGGCCCCCTGGACCATCCATGGCCAATCCTCAGTACTTTAATGAATGTGGATTTCTGACTGTAACTGAAATCAATGCAACACATTGGATCTTGGGTGTGGCAGTAAGCTGAGGGTTCTGAGAGCCTGGGCTCTGGGGTCAAGAATAAAGACTTCAGAGTGTGTTTACTTGACAAATGTCTTGATCTTCCTTGAACGAGGAGCAAATTCACACCACTGGGTCCCTCTAATATGCTGGGAGGGCAGTCTCTGATCTCTGAAATTCCAAGCAAAGCCTTCCCATGTCTTTCACTTATCTGCCTTCACTCAAGTAGGGAAGGTTGCTGTTGGAATGGATGCTTTTGATGACCACACCTTAGTTAATGGTTTCTATTGCTGTGAAGAGACACCATGACCACGGCAACTTCTATAAGGAAAACATTTCATTGGGCTGGCTTATAGTTCAGGGGCTCAGTCCATTCTTGTCAGGGTGGGAAGCATGGTGGCCTGCAGACAGACATGGTGCTGGAGACGGAGGCAACAGCTCAACATCTGGATCCATAGGCAGCAGGAAGAGAGTGAGCCACTGGGCCTGAAACCTCAAAGTCTGTCCCCAGTGACGCACTTCCTCCAAGAAGGCCACACCTATTCCAATAAGGCCACACCTCCAATAATGCCAGTCCCTGAGTTTATGGGGGCCATTTTCATTCAGACCACCACAGCAACCCATATGAAGAAAAATAGTACAAAATATCTTACATGGGCTAATCCCTCAGTGAATATCCCTTCTTCCTGTATGATGGTGGGAGGCACCAGCAGTATGTGCTGTTTTCACACAAGCCCTGGGAATCTAAAGTGCACACAAACTGGCCCTCCTGAGCCTGCCCACGCAGCCCAAGAGACCCTCACTAAGTCTCCCCGTTTCATTCAAACACTCCCCCTAGTAAGGAGAGAGGACAGCAGAGTGTCTCAGCTGCCTTGTAAAGGCAATAGTGTAGAAGAATGTACTAGAATCTCAAGATCATTAAAGCCTTCGGTGACCCAAGATGTAATGAAGTCAGAGCATCTTCTGCACAGGAACAGCAAGCAACCCTCTCTCCTGGCCATGGGGAAATCTGGGGTTTCACTATGGCTCAGGTCATTGTCTCATGGGAAAAACCTGTGGCCTCTGGGGGACCTCTTTCTGAGAAGTATACGCCATGTGTCGTAAGTGGTCCAAGCAGTGTAATACTGAAACAGCACACACACAAAGAACTGTCCAAACAGCGACTGTTTTCAAATGACAATTTGTTTTAATTAAATACAAACAAAGGAGAAAAAAACAAAAACAAAAAGTAACAAAACAAGGCACCACGGCCCATTCAAGTATTTTGCATAGATGTACAAATATTGTAAACAATCAATAGGAGGACAAGAGAGGAGAGGACTATTTCCTGTGAACAATCTCCCAAATAAAAAGAAAATTCACATTTGCCCTGGATCCCAGACACAGGCATACATACACTCATACAAGCGGACACTGGGAGCATGATTTTGGGGTATTGGGCTTGGAGAGCCTCTAGTTGGCGTCCCTAGAGAAGGGTTACCTTTCCAGTTCGTGTTCCCTGGCTTGTGTGTAGAGTCCTTTGGGGGCTTTCATTACATGCATTTGACAAAATGACTAGCTTTAGAATGTGCCTCCAATTTTAAGAATGCAAGTCTCACACCTGCTTTGTCAAATAAGCAAATTAACTGAACCTAGGGGAGACACTGTGGAAAAGGGTTACTGCAGAGTGAGGGACTGTTGCATGGCAGAGGATATTCAGACCCTAAAATCTACAATGTCTTAAAACAGGGATAGGAAAGAGCTTTTCTCTTACAGGTGGAAGTCACCAAGGATAAAAGAAACAGAAAGCAAGCAGAAAGTTGCAACTTGGAAGGGATTAGAGACTTGAGGTTCACAGGTCAGAAATGGCTTTAGGGTTCTAAACTTGGCAGGCAGCTAATTTAGTTTCTCAGAACACTTATAGCCTGGGCTGGGGATGTATCTCAGTTGGTAGAGTGTTTGCATTGACATGCATGAAGATCCGGGTTTGAACCCAGGACCACATAAACCAAGTGTGGTGTCACATACATGCAGTGTAGTCTTAGCACTTGGGAAGAGGAGAGTTGAAGGCCAACCTGGGATACATGAGATCCTGTCTCAAACAACTTTGGTTTTGGAGACAGGGTTTCTCTGTGTGACCCTAGCTGTCCTGGAACTCACTTTGTAGACCAGGCTGGCCTTGAAGTCAGAGATCTGTCTGCCTCTGTTGGGACTAAAAGCGTGCACCATCACACTCAGCTACAAACTGAACTCTGAACTTCCCTCAGCCCAACAGAGCCTTGGTTCAGACCAACCCCAGTGTTCACAAATATCTCTACAGTGGCTGGGCACAGAGCAGCTATTTCCAGTCCTGTTCACTTTCTAGGCACAACAAAAAGCCTTTAGAGCCTTGGATACCCACAGACGGGGTAGGTTGACTGAAGTGTTCTGTTGTAACCACCCCCTCCTCTCCCTGTGGTAATATTCTCTTTCCCCTCCTAAGTAGTAAACAATCCTTTGGGACAAACTCTATCCTTGAAGTCTACATGTATGCATGGGTCACTTCATGGTGCAGAAGGGAAGGGGCTCCTACCTGTGGCAGCCTCCCCAACTTTTGGATGACAGGCAGGAATGAAGATGCAAATAGAGCAGCTGCCAACATCTCTACCAAACTAAACAAAATTTTGCCATCTTGCTATTCACAGTATAGTTTGATGGGATGGAGGTGGTACCAAAGCAATGAGAAGGGGGAAAAGGAAGTGATTACCAAAGAGCAAAGTAATGGGTCTTCTTCCGGTATGGGTCAAGGGACAAAAGGCTCACAAGACTCATGACGTTAATGTTGCTGTGGCACTGTCACTCAAGGCCACCTGCCTCCTGAGTTGAGGGAGAGAGCCTGCACAGCCCACAAGAACATCTAGGAAGTACAGGGTTGGGTTTAAGGGAAGTGGTGTGTTTCTAACTTTGTGTCAAAAGTCGGGTGTTTTTAGGATCCAGCCTGTAATCACTGGGCGTTCGGTGTAGCACATAAATGAAAAAACTGTAAGACTGCAGAAAAGGGACCTAGGCCCAAGTGACCTTCTGCATCACAGCTCAGGGAGACAGAGTGTGAACAGCACGGTCACCCCAAGGAGAAATGTGGAGAAACGTGGTTTCCTGAGATCTTTCTACCTCCCAGACATGCACCTCCCACTGTCTACAGTCCCAAGAGCACGAGGCTAGAGCTTACTCTGCAAAGAACGGTCAGGAGGCCTTGAGGCAGCAAATGGGAGTCAAAAGCCTGCCTCCTCCTCAGGGAGGTTTCCAAGAGCTAACAACTGCTTGCTGTAGTGGCGGGAAGGCCCCTAGAGGACCTTCTGACATGCTTGTCAGCACCTTTTTGGGGATGGAAAATGGCCTCTCAGAGGCCAACCCCAGCAATTATGTAGTAACTGCCCTCCTGAGCCCCAGGCAAGATGGGGTCCACCCAAGTCCCACCCTCACCTTCCCAGAGCTCTTCCCATGAGGATCATGTACAGGCAGTAACAGGAGAGAACCAATGGAGGTGTGCGGTAAGACCCTGGTTGAAGAGAGCTGGGGGCCCCCTGCCCTGATTTGATTTACCATGGCTCTGAGCCATGTTCCAAAGAGGCTGCCTATCTGTCCAGAGTCAACTGTCCCACCTCAGAGCTGACCACTAGAGAAGGGCTGGTGCCCCTGTGTATACTTTCCCAATAACTGGGCTTCCAAACATGTCTGTCCCCTCAGTATACCTGGAGAACTTCACCTAGAATGTAGGTCAGAAAAAAGGAGGATGCCCCTTTTCCTGCTTAAAGCCAAAAAAAACCAAAAACCAAAAAAACCACAAGTACATGCAAAGTGCTCTCTCTCTCTCTCTCTCTCTCTCTCTCTCTCTCTCTCTCTCTCTCTCTCTCTCTCTCTCTCTCATACACACACACACACACACACACACACACACACACACACACACACACCCAAGCTCACTCCGCTCAATGTTCTTGAGATCCAGTGCAGGAAGCCCAGTGGCCACCCCGTGAGGCAGGATCCTGATTTGTTGGTCACAGGCGTATGGTCACCAGCAAGTCAGGAGTGCTGTGGTGCACCATCAAAGCACCATAGGACAGAGAGGTTGGAAGAGAGGAGGAGGTGACACACGGAACAATGGGGATGCACAACGGGGGATTCTGAGAGTCTAGCAACCTTTGGCATCACGGCTCAGAGGGGACACAGGCTGACCACTCCCCACTGCTGTCTACACTGCCTACAAATAGTACCTGTCTGAGTCAGAGAGTGACCATGTAAATACGGGAATGTGGGGGGTGACAAGGGAGGGGAGCATGGCTTGTCACATGCAGCCATATAACCAGGAACAGGCACCTTAGCCAAGTCCTGGGGCCAGGAGGCAGCAGTGGCTTCCTCGGTCCCTAAAAGCTAAGAGACAGGTAAGACCCAACCTCTGTGTAGCCTGGGGATCCCAGAGAGAGGTCAGTCAACAGAAGCCCTCATGTGTACCTGCCAGAATGGGACCTGAGTGAATGCCTTCTCCAAGCTTGGCACAGGAGGAGGACCCCCCAGTTCGAGACTTCCCTGACCATCACTGGCAGCTCTGAGCTAGGCGGCCAAGGGAGAATCTTCCCCATCTTCCTCCATCTGCTTCCCTTTCCTACCAGAGCTGTATATTGCACAGGACAACATGCAGAAGCCGTCAGATGGAAGTTTCTCTGGGCCTCAGAGAAAACAGGCATTGGGACAAGGAAGGAGATTCTGGAGATGATGGGCTTCCAGGAGGTTGGAGAAGCTTCAAGGTGGCCGAGCAGACTTCTTTCTTCTGGACCTTACATGGCATCCAGAGTCTTCAAGGGAAACAAGAAACTTCTAGACAGTTCTAGATCTTGGAGCTAGTTACCCCTGCAGCCCTCTGTGATCTGTATTGGGGAAGCTGGAAGGAAATAGGAAGGGAAAGATGTGACCTCAGTGCTGGTCAGCAGGACCGGGCAACTGTCCTTTGGCTTTTCACAGTCAAGAACAGAAGCATAGTCTCCAGAAGTCTGTCCCTGTGGCTGATTTCCAAGACCGGCAGCCCGCGCAGTGAGAGAAAGTTGTGTGCCGACCCCCAAAGCTGGAGAGTCGAGGTTCAGTACAACAGTTTCCCCATGATTTATGGGAATATGAAGATGACAACTGGCCTCTTTTTCTCACTCCTTCTGACCCAACTCCCCAAACTAAGCTAAGAACATGGCAGCCAGAGAGAAGCATTAAGGAAAGGGACAGAAGCTGACAGGCGTATGTGAACTAATGACTACCTTCATAGTGCCACTATGAAGCTGGTCCCTACTGCTTCTTATGCTGATTCTCAGCTGCACACTTCCCCTGCTGGTGTTTCTGCATCCTTCTGTGGACTCACCTTTGGAACAGATCCTGTGGGAGCCCGGGGAGGCTGAGGACTAACAGTAGGTGACTGCAGCAGGGAGGCACCTCCTGGCCTGGGAACGCTCCTGTGGCCTGGCACAGGGTTTGCTGGAAGTGCCTTCTGAGGTGGCCGCGGCCTAGAGAAATCCTGGAGGAAGCAAAAAGTCTCATTTGAGGGGCTTCTTTCAAAAGAAAATATGCCTAACATCTTATGAATCAAAACCAAATAATATACATACCAGATGTCTCATTTTTAAAGAACTCACATGTGTGTGTGGGAGGGGGTATAATATATTTACATGCTAAGAAAAAATAAGAACTTTTTGAAAAAACGAGTTGGCTATGTCTATTAAAATTAGAGATGGGGTTTGGAATGATGGGCACACTTTTAATTCCAGTACTCAGGATGTAGAAGCAGGTGGATTTCTGTGAATTCAAGGCCAGCCTGCTCTACATAGTAAGTTCCGGGCCTGCCAGGCTATACAGTAAGACCGTGCCTCAAAACTTAAATAAATAAATGGAAATGATCATTTTCCAATGTGAAACTTCTTGTTGGCCATGTTAGAGACTGTTTGCACAGGTGCACAAGGATACTCTACAAGGATGTTCTCTGTCCCCTGTTTACAACACCAGAGAACTTAGAAACTTCTGAAGTTTCCACAGTGAGAGAAAAGAATGTAAAATTATACAGTGGCACGGGCTCCAGCAGGTAAAAAGAACAAAACAGGTGGATATGAGCTAATGAGGACAGTCAGCTGCAAGAGAAGTTGAAATGAACCTGACGGAGGAGTGTATTCAACACAGACCACCGTGTCCCTGCCTACGGTCAACAGAGATAAACAGCAGACAGCCAGGAAGGGGCCGGAGCAAACTGATAACAGAGGGCTACTTGGGATGGGTTCTAAGTGGGTGGGTGTGGGCCAGGAAAACAGAAAGAGTTTGTGTGTGTGTGTGTGTGTGTGTGTGTGTGTGTGTGTGTGTGTGTGTATGTGTGTGTGTGTGTATGTGTGTGTGTGTGTGCGTGTGCATGTGTGTGTACGTGTGCCTGTGCATGTGCCTGTGCGTGAGGCTTGTGTGCACATGTGCACACACATACCCACAAGCAGTACCTGGACAAATTAAAACTTTCAGAAACCATGGCTTTTGGTGTTGCTACTTTGTTTGGATTAGTTTCTCTTCTGTCTATACATGGCACAATGATTATTTCTCACCTTCTCAATAAGGCAAATTTCCCTTGCTATTACCTAACCATATGCCTAGCATGTGGTTCCCCTAAGTCATTGTATGTTAATCTATTTCTTTCTTTTAATATTCTTTATCCCTACCAACCTAAATAATTTGCCAGTCTTTTATTTTCTCTCTCTAGCCACCTCTGACTAGAACTGGAACACAGGGGGGCAGGGTACCTTTTCTGTGTGGTTCATGGGGTCATTACAGGACTTTCTGGGCGGTTAACACACAGGAAACCCTCAGCTCAACAACAAACACATAAATAAACGAGCTATTCAAACTCCCTAAAATAGATACATATTTCCGTGCTACTCCAATTGTTTAACTATAAAGAATCATTGTTTTTGTTGTTGTTGCTTTGTGTCAAGATCTTTCTACATAGCCCTGGCTGTCCTGTTTCACTGCCTTGAAGTCACAACGATCCACCTGTCTTAGCCAAGTGCTGGGATTAAAGGTGTGCACCACCATACCTGACTATTCGCATTACTTTTGATTATGTGTGTGTGTGAGTTTATGCCCTCTGTGTTCAGGTGCCCTTGGAATTCACTGATGTGGGTGCTGGGAACAGAACCCAGGTCCTCTACAAGAGCAACAAATGCTCTTAACCACAGAGCCATCTCTCCAATTCCACTACTCAGTTTCTTTAAACAAATATGTGCTTCTTTTGTGATTGGAAAAACAAAATTTTAAGGGGTAATCATAGTCTATCTCCAAGCTGATGAGATTTGAGGAAAGCCAGTTCCTTAGCCCGCCTGAGAGGGGCACCAGTGACCTCCAGGGTGGGCTTGGGGCAAGTGTGCAGGAGGCAGAAACATTACAGAGGTGGTTTTCCTACAAGAATAACTTCTCAGAGCAGACACTGAAGCTCAGAGAAGTAAAAAATGCCTGAGACCAAAAAGCCACATATGTCAGCTCTCCCCTTTCCAAGGGGTGCCGATCTTGGGGGTGGACGGTACATGGTGGAACCTAGATTTCACCAGAAAACTCAGGCCTTCCAGGGAAAGACAGCCAGGGAAACTGCAAAGTGAGCCCTTGCTGGTTGTTATCTGCATAGGAGCCTTATCAGGACGCCTGCCCTGGGCCCCCCGGCACAAGCATCCAGTTCGATACCATACCCTCATTCTTGGCACATGAATAAGCATAGCCAAGACTTAACAGAGCAGAGGAGAATAACCTGCTGCAAGCTGGGAGAACATGGTGAGGATCCGCTAAACTACGCCCTCTAAAGGCAGCAAGGCAACTTTATCCAGAGAGTCCATTCACATTTACAAGGTGTACATCCCTGAACACACTCAGTTTAAGGCCATAGTTAACAAAAACAATCAGAGCTGGGACATTTAGGGGTATGCCTAGCTCAGTGTCGGGGAGTAGTGCTTAAAGAGATTAGGTAGGAATGAGTCTGGGCAAGCTAACTAACTGAGGATGTGGGCAAGCAAAGAGATGTGGGTACCCATAAGGCAAAGGCATCTGCAATGGCCTGGAGGGGACAAGAGGTCAGGGAACTGAAAGAACTTCATTTGGGGGAAAAAGTAGGTGGAAATCAAACAGGAACAAAGCGTTGTGTGGCTTAGGAACTGCCCAGGGGATGTGCTTCTTCCTCTTACTGCTAAACTTCTGGGAACCCATTGGATTCACCAGAACAAAGAAGATGGCCAAACCCAGCCAGTGCATCACCCTGTCCTCCATTGTCCCTCATTGCAGGTGCCCTACTACGGATAATGTCCCCATTTACCTGGGACAGTAGGCAGGTAGGTGCAGGGGGGATGGGCCGGCTTGGGGGAGGCCTCCTGGCTGACTCCTTTCTTTCTACCTGAGCCCCCGTTTCTGGGGAGCTCCTGGCAGCCTTGTTCAGATGTGCTGGCAGTGGTTCAGATGGGGTTTCAACTTGCATGTAGTCTGGAGGTGGCCGGGGAGGAGGGTGGGAGGGCTTCCGGAGAGTTTCAGGGGTGTTGGCCACCTGTATGTAGGAGACAAGGAACGGCTGAGATGGGGAATCCTGTTTATGCGTGGGTCTCAATGAGGTGACCACAGCCTCATTTGAAGGAAGGGCAGAAAAGCTAACCTACTCAGCCCTTCAGATCCCAGGCTTCAGAACCAACTGATGTGTCTCCCTGGCCAATAAAATAACTTTCATTACAAACCCCACGGACACCCACAAGCTCTTAGGAAGCCTAACAGAGATCAAAGAAAAATCAGTGAAATTCGATAGTGCAAAGCCCTTACCTTTCGCTTGCCCTGGGGAGTCTGCAACTTGAAAGTTGGGTTGGCATGGCCAGTTCCACCACTCTGAGACACCCTGAAGGGACAACTAGAAACAAGGAATGGGGGACAGGAAGGAGGGAGATATTCAGGGCCTTGTGCACTGAGCTCCTTCGGCCCAGGCCAACTGACAAATCTAATTAACCCTCCTCTCTCCAGAGGAGATGACCCTTTCAAATCCATTATCCCCCAGGCATGGACCCAGAAGGATTCAGGACAGAAAAAAAAAAAAAAGAAACAAAACAAAACAAAAACCCTTCCAGCGCAAGAACACACGGACATTTAACAGAACTCTTGAGAATATGCTGTCAATATCTAAATGAATTAATCATTTGTCTTCTCGGGCTAATGTCTAGCTATCCCTGTGACAGACTTTAGCTTGTCAACCCTTCTCTGTTGCCTCAGTTTGCTACTCTTAAAACAATAAGGTATAAATTAACCAGGTGGAGGAAGATAAATAGGTTTTGTGTCATGCCCCAATTTGAATTGGCTAAGTACTTTCTAGGGAGAGGAATTCACAAGTAATAACCACACTCAGTAGAAATCACTTACAGCCATTACCTAACAATGCCTACCAAGGTGACAGAAGTGACATAGACTGGATGAAGGTGGCATGTCCCCTGCATTCATCTTCCAGAATTAGACTCATCACCACTGACTTTTCCACAAGGATTCTGTGATCTAGAAGGGACCCCCAAGTCCTTGTGGGCATAGTGCCCTGTCCCACCTGAACTGCTGCCGCAGCTTGAAAGGGAGAGCTGAAGGCTTGCCCAGTTTGTGGCTCTGTCTATAGCAGTGGAATAACAGCACCAGGACAGCTAGCACGAAGAAGGCTGAAAACACCCCGGCTATCATAGGACCCATACCTGCCAGAAGACAGCACAATGAGAGAATTAGAAGCTATTCTGGCTACAATAAAATGACACAGCCTTGACTCTTCTTCCGATATTTGATTATCGTCTTATTTGTCCAACTGATTTTAAACACACACACACACACACACACACACACACACACACATATTATATACTATTGGGGCACTAATACTAGCTTAAGAAGTCAGGCCCACCAGCTTTCCTAGAAAAGTCCCACAGCCATTTCTTTCAACTTGCAGAGATTCTCTTCAATGCTATTTGTCATTAGCTTCCAGTTAATGGATTTTCAGAAAATCAGCCTGCATCACGATTTTCCTGGATGCAGACTAGTAGCCAAAAAATACTGGCTCAGATACCTTAGTACTAGAACTCTCACCCTCAAGCCTTAACCTCACAGTTGGTTCCTAAGCCACCTCAACAGTCCCATGAATCATAAATTTAAATATGCAAAGTACGCTTGCGGCAATGAAGCTCCACTTTGCTCTATTCTACATATTGGGGTTCTTCCTTCTTGTCTGTTATTATTTTGTTTGTCTTTTAAGACAGGGTGTCACTGTGTAGCCCAGATTGGCCTGGAACTCACTGTGTGGCACAGATTGGCCTCAAAATTGCAGCAATACCCCTGTGTCAACCTCATGAGAGCTGGGATTACAGGCAGGAACTACCATGCCCAGTTTTTAGCCTTGTATTTTTTAACTACTTTTGCAGTTATTCAAAGACAAAGTTTGGAAACCACAGAAGTAGAGGCCCCAAGACTTTCTCTGAAACTATAAAACATGCCCGCTTTCCCATTTCTTAGCCTTTGTTTAGCAAAAAGCAGAATAACCCCAATGCAAGGCATCCCAGGACTGTGATTCTTTCAAGTGCCCCTAAAAGGACTAGTTACTAGTTACTCCCACAAATACATGTGACTATCCAATGACCTAGAGACTCCCTTGATCTCTCTCTTTGCTAGTAAAATTACAGAAAGGCAACTAAGCCCAAGTCTCAGTAGGAGGAAATGGCTTCCTCCGACCAGACTAGGCCTCTTTTTCTCGGTTTCCTCCCTGCAGAATCAGGAGAGTATGGCCAACTTAACTTGAACTCTGCAACAGGCAAATCCAACCTATGACCCACAGGCTCCATGTATTCCTGTATACCTATGACCACAACCTAACACATTTGTAGACAACAATGCCGTATTGCATTGTCAACAGGTTGGAGGTGCCTGCCAACCAATCACACATCCCATAGTCTCCATTGCTCTTACAAAGGCAGAACACTTACTCTTGGGGGGCAAAGGACCACTGTCAATGCTGCCGCCATCTCCTGGGGTGTTACAGAAAGGTGGAGCCCAGCCATGGAAGCAATGACAGTTCTTGTTGTTGTTGCAGACCTAGAGTGAAGGACCACAGATACGTCAGCACCCAGCAGAGCTGTGACCTCCCACAGGACACGCCCCCATGACACCAACACCCAGGAACCCACACCTCTGCACACGTACCCCGTGACCATTGCACTTTTTCCCACAGCCTTCAGTCTCAAAGAAGGAGGTGTTCCTGCACTGTCCCTCGAAGCAAATCTGCAGACAGGGACAGCAGCCATCAGTAGAGCATCAGGAACTTGGGGGAGGCTTAGGGTATTGGAGTTTTGTACTCAGGATACATAGGAACCCCAAAAGGTACCTCTTCGACTTATATATTATTATAGTGAGGAACACAAACAACCTCAAAAGGCAGGACAGCGAGTAATTATTCTATCACCTCTGTGATTAGGGAAGACACAGCAAACACTGCTAAAATGTTACATTCAGTAATCAGGAAATGTTTATAGTCTAGTATTATCTTGCTTACACAGTAGCCAAGAATAAATATGTACTAAGTTTTAGTATTCTGCCTGAAAAATAATGATTGTGGCAGCAGCTTACTGTGCTGGGCATTGTACCACGGGTTTCCGATGTTTTTATAACTTCACTATACAACTGAATATATGAGATGGGTGGCATTATTTTCCTTGGGTTTCCCTGACCCTTGGACTATTTCTGTTCCGTGTGATAGCTAATGATACAGATGATAGTGTTGAGTCCATTTACATGGCTAATTCATAGTCTATGCGTGGGCATCTATGGGTGGGATGCTATCACTCTGAAAGCCAAGCACCTTCCTCCGAAGCCCACACTTCTCAATTTCTGTCTCTATATCTCAGTTTCTGAGAGAGGCTGGGGGAGGGACTCACATGGTTGTGACCACACTTGGTCCCAGTCATCACCAGGCCTGGATCCAGCATGTCACCTTCCCCTTCCTCCTCCTCGGGACCCCGGTAGACATGGGTGCCCCGACAGTGGATCCGCCTCCCATTCAAGGTGATGGTGGTGTCAATTGATACCGCGTTGGATTCCAGGGGCCGGGCCTGGGTGCTCTGACACTGGATCTTCCCACACTTGGCATCCCTGGGCCAGGAGAGAAGACAGTGTCAAAGGCTGGGGAAGAGCTGGGGCTTCAGAGAGCTTCAGTGTTACCAAATCAGCAGACTTAGGTAAAGTAGGGCAAAGGACCAGAGAGCGGGCTGGACCGCAGCGTAGAGACCTGAGGTAGAGCCAGAAAGGGGTCTCTGACCTAGGCTAAGAGCTAAACTTAAGATGCCCTAACTTCAAGGATGCCTGCATGACCCGAGTCGTGTCTGTCACCTTATGCTCATCTCACAACTATCCACCCAGACACTCCAACTAGGAGTTGGGTCTCAGTGACTCCCTCCTCTTCATTGCTCCTGGGTTGAGCACTTCAGCCCGTCAATCCTTCTTCCTACACAGTTTCCCTGACTCATGTTACTACCTCCTTTTCTATCCTGACCTGCCTGATACCAAAGCCACTGACTGTAGTGTCCACGGGAGGAGACCAAACTCTTACAGCCTCGGGATCCATCCCGTTTTCCTCTTGCCATGCTCTTTTCTCATGGCCCCCTCTCTTCAATTCCCCACAAATTGTAGCTTACTCTATCAGTTTGTCAACTGCCAGTTTTTCTGTAACCTTGGTGCCTTAAACACTCCTTTTTACACCCCAGTGTGACTCCCTACCCTGTTCATGTAGATGACTGCTACAGAACTCAACCAAAGAACTTCTTGGGGAAAATGCTCCAAGCCATTAACCATTACATTGATTATCACATTGCTCTAGACTAGCATTTCTCAAGCTGTGGGTCGTGTCCCCTTTGGGGGTTGAATGACCCTTTCACATGGCACACCTAAGACCATCAGAAAACAAATATTTACATTACAACTCATAGCAAATCTACAGCTATGAAGTAGCAATGAAAATAATTTTATGATTGAGGGTTATGAAGTAGCAATGAAAATAATTTTATGATCGGGGGTCACCACGACATGAGGAACTGTATTAAAATGTCGCAGCATTGGGAAGATGGAGAACCACTGCTCTAGATACTCAATATAGCATCATGCATGTAGCGTATCTGCTGCAGGGGTGGGAAGGTGAGTAGGTGAATAAATACATGAGTCAGTGGGTGGCTACGATGAATGATTTAGACATGGCTCTTAGAATAGGGCATAATTTTAGCACTCTGCAAAAAAAAAAAAGTCTAAAAGGGCCATCTCCTGCCCTCCTTTGTTTCTTTCTTTCTTTTTTTTTTAAGACAGAGTTTCTCTGTATAACAGCCTTAGCTGTCCTGGACTCACTTTGTACATCAAGCTGGCCTCAAACTCAGAGAGATCTGCCTGCACCTGCCTCTGAATACTGGCATTAAAAGGCCGTGCCAACACGCCCAGCTATCTTGCCCTGCTCTGAGATAGTCCCCAAAGCACCGTGATCCACTTCCTAGGAAGCAATGCTGCCCACTCCTCTTTTGACTTCACGTAGAATCAACTGAACAGAGCATTATCAAACAACAGAGAACAGATAGATACAGGCTTTCACTGGCTTCTTTAAAAGCAAACTGGGGCCAGTCACACCAAGACAGGTGGGAGCAAAGAGGACAGAGCTGGGACCACTTGGTCACTCTTCTGCCCGTGGGGGCAGTGCTGTGGTCCTCACCTGGGGCTGCACTTCCTGTATTTGCCGTTCAAGCCCTTGCCACAGTTTCCATAGGTGTCTCCAGCTGCGTTCACCCTCTCAAAGCAGAGATCCAGGGCGGGCCGAGCTCCTAGGTATACAAGAAACACCTGTCAGTGCGCCAGCCTGCCAGAGGCTCCCAAGAGCAGGGCTAGCCTCGGGCAGTGTGACACTTCCATATTCCCCAACACTAATTGAGTCAAAACATTTTAGAGGGGTTTTAACACTTCATTGAAGATGTGTACTTATGTCAGCTGCATGCTAACCCTGCTTGCTAATGAAGAAGGGCTGTCCTGTTCCTGGTCTGCAAAAGATTAGTAATCCATGTCCCAAACACTAAAGAGCTGAAACGTATCTTTGGATTTTTTTCTTCATAGCTACCCTGTTTTCTCTCTCCTATGTCATAGAAAACCAACAATCTTTAACTGTGTTTTCTATTAAAAACAACTGTCTTCTCTATCTTTTGCACCCTTTATATCCGATTCCGGGCATCATCGTGAGAGAATGCAATACGGAGTGGAAGCATCGTCTCCCTTTCTGTCCTGCACGCTGTGTTTTGACTTAGTTTGCTGCAGGGGGTGGTAATATTCAGTGTACAGAATTCGGCAGCATGGCATTCAGTTGCATGACTTCAGTGGGTTAAATTTAATTGGCTCATACTACAGGGTGCCGTGTAGTTTTGTAGACCAGGCTGGCCATGAACTCACAGAGATCTGCCTGCCTCTGCCTCCTAAGTGCTGAGATTAAAGGCATGTGCCAGCTAATTCTCATCTTCTGGAAATGGTGACAGACGGAGTCCCATACCCAAACATGGGGGAGGGAACAACCATAGAGTTTCTGAATGTGCAATGACCACTAATTAAAAACAGAAGGTTTGGTTTATAAAATTGCTGCTTGAGTTGCAGACTTGGGTTTCTTTAAAAACAAACAAACAAGCAAACAAAACCACTTAGTTGGGTATGGTGCCACCCTTTAATCCCAACACTTGAGAGGCAGAGGCAGCCTAGACTACATAGTACATTTTAGGCCAGTAGGCTATTAAACACAGTGAGACCCTGTCTCAAAAAATAAAAATCACTAAATGAATCATGATTTGGGGGTTAAAAGAGAATTTCCAATAATCTGGTAAAACCCTAAACATGCTTCTGTAATTTTTGTACCACATGGTGTTTCAATCATTGACAACTATAAAATCACAATATCAATCAACTCTAAAAACCACTGAAGGTGCTCTATGTCCTGCACCATCAACTACTTAGCCAAGATTTAATTATTTATGTAAAAATAAACAAGACCCCATTTATTAAAGGAAGAAGCATAAACCTTTTTTATATTCTCATGTATTCCATATGATGTAAAAACTCAGAAAAAAAGGATGAGTGAAAAAAGTTTAAGCCTAGTGTAATTAATGGGACCAGAAAGTGCATTAAAATTTTTGCTATCTCTAAACCTTTCTACAGGGGTCTATCTGTTTCCTCACACTCTCCACAAGACCATGTTATGATAGTTGTTGCTATTATTATATCACTTGCTGTCTTTGTAACCTGATACACAAAAAAACTCCACTTCATGGTAGTTACAATTTGCTTTCCCTCAATAAGACTGAGGTTAAACATCTTTTATAGCTTAAGGGTGTTTTGACTTTTGTTTTAATCTCCATTTCTGCTTCATTGGTGTGGGGGGGGTTATTGCTATCCAGTATCCTGTTAGAACTGTTAGGAGTAAAAGCCTCAAAGGACTGGGAAGAGCGCTGTCACCTGGCTGCCCCTGGATGTCTCCCTTGAACTAAGAGGACCAGAGATGGTATTTGAGAATGCTCTAAAGCCAAGATGCTAGGCCATGCTAAGTGGCCAGCGGGGAGGCTGGCTCAGAAGTGATGGCTGGAAGAGAACATGCTCTCCAGGAGGGTCCTTACCGGGTCCCCACAGCTGCTGGCACTGCTCCTGGTAAGTGAGGCACATGCCATTGTAGCAGTAGGCCTGGCCACCCTCACAGGGGGTGCCATCCATCTGGTAGAAGTTGGTGGGGCAGTGGGGAGACTTGCCGGTGCAGAACTCGGGGAGGTCACACTGCCGCACCTGCTCACGACACAGGGTTCCAGGAGCCACCAGCTGAGTTGTAGAACAAGAAAAGAAAAGTAGTCACTTCTTCCTGCCCCTCAACCCTTCCAGCCGAGAGCTCACTAGCATCGCATCCTTGGAAGGCAATTCTCCGTTGCCTTGATATCACACAGCACTTATCACATGACTTCCTCAGCTCAAGCCATCATGAGCTTCTGATATGAACAGTTACCGGGCACCTTCAAAGTTGTATCCACAAAAACAAATGCAACTCACTTCCTTTTCACAGCAGGCTTAGGAAGCGGGCAAGAAGCAATATTTATGTAACAATTTATAGTTTACTCTGTGTCTTGGCAATTATAGCTGCCTTTATGCAGCTTCACTTAAGTGTCATTGGGACTTCATTTAGTTTGTATGACAGTCCTATATAAAGAATTGAAACACAATATATTTGAAGTCTCATGGTGTGTGACAGATTAATGCCCTGATATGTGCACATAACACACACACACACACACACACACACACACACACACACACACACACACACACACACGGCATTTGTGTAAATTTTCAATTTACAAGATTTCTTGTTTTGTTCTTGAAACTACCCTCAAACTCATTATTTAGCACAGCCTGGCCTTGAACTCATGGCAATCCTCCTGCCTTAACCTCTGGAGTGCCAGAATTAGAACATGCCTCACCACATGAAGCTTGTGACTCCAAACACTTCAGGAACAATACATCCCAACTTTTAGGCCAAGCATGGGGCTGAGTGTCATCCAAATACTTATCTCGTCCAATCTCAAAATATCCATGAAACAGATACAACTACTTATCCCAGTTTTCAGATTAAAGAACCAATCAACAGCACATTTGGGAAAGCAGTAAAAACCGACTTAAAACCTTCGCCTTCAGCTTCCCCCGACAGTGTGTCTAGAACTCATGCCAGTCTGTAGACAGACAGCTCGAGCTCAGGTGGCTCTCCAGATTCACACAGCAGGACTTGAAGTCAAGGGATCCTTTGTGAGGCACAAGCTGAAGTCTGGGAGCTGAGGGAAAGGTCACTCCATGCTTATTCTTTAGCCTTTGAGACTTGAAGGACTCAACCCAGCACAGCCTCTCTGGGGCTTCCAGGTCAAACCAGATGGTGTCCAAGTTCCCCTGAGCCAGGAAAGGACACCTACGACTCAAAGAGTAAGGCACTCCCTCAATTCCAGGAGGCCATGATCTTCTCAGGCCCACCACATCTTCTCAGGAGAAAGAGCAGCCAGGTCCCTTTTCGAGTAAGGCCAGTCAGTGTGCAGAGGCAGAACCCTCGGTATATACGCACACTTAACTACACAGTGTGCACTTGGCAATCTGAGGGCAGGACAGGCCCCTGCTCCGTCCTAAAACGCCTATAGAATTCAGATTCCAGGTTAATAAGGTAACTCAAAAGTTCAAATATCATTAATAGTGTGTATGTGCATGTGTACACATATAAGTCCAACAATGTATATGTAGAAATCCTTATGATTAGATGTGTATAATCACAAGTATATACTTGCCACTATATATGTGTATTATATAACCCAGTAATACCTAAAATACACTTTATAATCAATATTAAAATGAAATTATTTACTTTATGCGATTTTTTCCATAAAGACTATAATTAGTCTCATATCCATTTGGACAGATTTTATTACCAAAATTTTCATCTTTCGTTTTGGAACTTCCTGAATTATCAGATTTAGACTTGAAAGGTTTTCTTTTCAGTGCTATGTGGTCACTAATAGTAATAAATTATTTCCTGTGTTGATATTAGGAATGCGGGCTCCAAAGTCGAGAAGAACTGGGTTCAGGCCCTGATGGAATCTAGAATACATCACCCATGTCCTAATGACCCTGGTTTCCTTCCCTTAAAAGCAAAGGCAGTAATATGTACTCCACGGGGCTTTTCGAAGACTGAATAAGATAACCTATATAAAATTCTCAGCCTGGTGCTTGACATCTACCAAGGTAGTCAATGATGTTAGTCAAAATCACGACATCGTTTTAATGTGTTCAAGTAAAAATGAGGCCAAGCTGGGTCTGGTAACTGAGGCTGACAATCCCTCGGGGTGGGGGGTAGTGATTTCAGAACTTGTCTGGACTCCAGAGTAAGTACAAGGCCACTCTGAATAATTTGGTGAGCTCTTGTCTCAAAATAAAAAGATATATATCTTAAATATATATCTTAATCGTATATAGAGCATATATATACACACATATATATATGTATATGTGTGTATACATATGTATGTATATGTATGTGAATTTATGTATGTATGTATGCATGCATGTATACTCCTTGGGGTGCTTTGAACACAAGGAGGCCCAGGGTGGAAAAACTGTAGGCTTAGTTGAAGAGACATTCTCCTTCCAAATATCTAACACACACACACACACACACACACACACCCATCCTCTTTCCTTTCCCATCCTCCCAGTGCTGGGGTTGAATCCAGAGCTTTGAGCATGAAAGCAGTGTTGTGGATTATTATTTTAAGATGTATTAATTTGTTTATGCCGTGCAACATTTGCTTAACGATGCAAAGGCGTGCTGCATTCTTTTATGTTGCATTTGTTTAACTCTGTGAAGCTGTGTTATTTTGCCTGTCTAAAACACCTGATTAGTCTAATAAAGAGCTGACACCCAGTAGCTAGGCAGAAGAAAGGATAGGCGGGACTGGCAGGCAGAGATAAGGAGGAGGAGAAATTTGGGAAGAGAGGATGGAGGAATGAGAAATAAGGGGCCAGCCACCCACCCACACAGCCAGACATGAAATAAGGAAAGAAGATATACAGAAATAGAGAAAGGTAAAAGGCCTGAGGCAAATGGCAGACAGGATAATTTAAGAAAAGCTGGCAAGAAAAAAGGCAAACTGATATATATATATAATATATAATTATTATAAGTAATAATAAGTCTCTGTGTGTATTTATTTGGGAGCTGGGTGGCAGACTCCCCAAAGAGCCAAAAAACACAAACAGCAGCACAGGCTCTACTATGGGCCACACTCCCAAGCCCTGCGTCTACAACTTTCGATGCATGCTGAAACACAGTCATCACCCACTAGCCTGTCATCTCAAAGCCTGAGGCAGGGGGAAAGGGCACTCACCTTACACTGGTGACAGCAGGAACCATGGGCACACTCAGCCCCTTCCTTCAGAGTGCAGTTGGAGGCATTGCAGCAAGGGTTATTACACTCCTGCGAAGGCAACACATAGGTTTTGGCCTCTGCAACAGCAGGGCAAGAGTCAGAGCCCAGCAGGGGGCGCCTTGGCCCCTCCATTCCCCACCTGCCTGGTGTGTCCTGCTTTCTGCTCCCCAGAACTCACTAGGCCATCACTTGGAAGCTCTTCATTAAGGTAATGCATATTAGCCAGAGAAAAGACACAGGTGCACCATCTTTGTAGAAGCCGCAACTTAAGTGGGACTATGTGGTAATTCTGGGTAGGTATTATCCCGGAATTACGAGGTCATACTGAACTTGCAAAATCCTACCATTCAGCTCCCTCTTTGCCAAAGGACCAGGGCTAACCCTTGCTTTCAGTTCACGGTTCTTTCATTCTGATAGTTCCAGGGTTCTATTTAAGAACAAGACCAGAAGGTGGCTCAGCGGGTGAAGACACTTGCTGCCAAGCCTGACAACCTGAGTTTGGTCCCTGGTTTCCACATGGTGAAAGGAAAGGGGGAAAAAAACTCTGCCATTATTTTCTGACACGCGCACACACACACACACACACACACACACACACACACACACACACACACACACACACACACACGCGTGCGCGCAATATTAATGTAAAACACCAGAAGGACATCTTGGCATAGAGATCATTCTGACACCTCCAGACTCACAGCCCAAACATCACCTGCTGTTCACCAACTGTCAAGCATGGGTTAACATACACTTTCTCATCCTTCAAAAAATAGAGACGAAACAATCTAGTTCTGCTTTTTTCTTTTTGGGGGGCAGAAAAACATGTTCCTGATGAAAACGACAGCTGAGGGTGTATGCCCTCCACACTCATTCCGAAGCTGCGAAGGAGGAAAGGCCTATCCACGGGAGCCCTGCTTCTCCTTCCTCAGCGGCCTTCCCACACTTGCGGCACTCCCTGTGAATCCTCTCTTCTCCAGGCTCAACAGCTCGTTATCTCAAGGCTCTGCACCAGGCTCGCACCACGATCCTGTTCATGAGCTTATTCCGTTGGCTGTGTGGCCTCCTGAGTAAACTCAGCGCAGCTGGAGGGCTAAAGACACCATCTGGGGCTCCTCCGGGAGAGGAGGAGGGGCCTACGAGCCCTGGGATCATGGTCTGTGGCTAGAGCAGTTGCCCACAGGGGCTCCACCCTGATCTTGGATATGACAGTGCTGATCACAGCTGCAGAGGCCATCGAAACGGTCCTGCTGGCAGACTCGCTATCTACATCTTACACACAAAGGGTCTGTGGCGGTCATGTGTAAGAAATGCTGGCAACTAAGAAATGATCTGTCACGGTGTCCTTTCGATGTCCTTAAGCTCTGAAAACCTATGCAGAGTCTCCCCTCTCCCTAGCATGGCCCTGACACTTACCTCTTCCTCCCCACAGTCACATTCTTCACCATCTTCCAGGTACCCGTTGCCACAGCGCCGGCCTCCATACAGCGTCCTAGTATCCGGCATGTTCGAGAGACACATCCCACCTCCTGACCGCAGGTACCTGTCCAGCTCCCTCCTGTTGCACCAACTGAACACTTTGGGGAAAGGGTGCCTGTCAGAGAACAGGGAGACATTAGTAGAGAGTTTAAGCACACCATATAACTTGCTGTCCTGCCACCCAGGAGGCTAACTTGACCTGAATGAAACCCCTACACATGCCCTTTGACCTACACCAGGACATTCATTGATACATGAACTTAGAATTCTTCTATCCTAAATCATGAAAGGATAAGCATGCCATATGGTTACATTTCTCTTATTAAAAATGAAAAAGGCACCAGGTGGTGGTGCACGCCTTTAATCCCAGCACTTGGGCGGCAGAGGCAGACAGACCTCTGAGTTTGAGACCAGCCTGGTCTACAAAAGCTAGTTCCAGGACAGCCTCCAAAGTCACAGAGAAACCATGTCTTGAACCCCAACTCCCTCCCCAAAATGAAAAAGGCAGATGAGAAATAGAACAGCAGTTTCTGCCCTTTCCATGATAGAGCTACAGTATGGACAGTGAGTATATTAACACAAGTTTCCATACTGAGAGCTGAACAGAACACCAGCCAACTCAATGCCAGATGGGTATCTATTTTCTCTTGACAAAACCAGAACCAGAGAGCCTGGGATCATGGGTTTAATTTACTCATGGGCTAAAGGGCTGATCTCTTTCTCCTGATAAGCAAACTCCATTGGCCAATACACAAATGTGTGGTCTCTATCATAAGAGTGTGTACAAAAAGCTCCCAAGTTGCCTGCTGCTATGGAAACCAACCAAAAGAGAGGCAGTTCCCTTATCTGCAGCTTTGCTGTCCATAGTTTTGGTTACTCATAGTCAACAGAGATCTGAAAATATTAAAGAGGATCTGTCCATTTCTAGAAGTTTCTAAGTGTGAAGTAACATCTATTATCATCACTGTTTTAAACGTTCTAGTTTATTTCGAGTTACTGTTTTTAACCTCTTATTGGACCTACTTTATAAACAAAATTCATCACAGGCACGTGGAGGAAAGTCACACAGCTGCACAGCACAAGCTTTAAATACAGGGAAACTGCTATATTACAACGTGGGTCTGTAAAGAGGCCCAGGTAAGGCCTGGCCCTTAATTCTCACCAATTAAAAGTTAAACACTGAAGGATTCCTCCAGCATGACAGTATGCCCCCAAGGAATTTGCTACTAGTCATTAGTGTGTGAATAACTTAAAAGCAGATTAGAGTAGTAATGAATATCACGGTCACCCACTGGTCTACAGATACTCTACTGCAGCAGTTCTCAACCCATGGGTTGTGATCCCTTTAGGGTCACATATCAGGTATTGTGCATATCAGTTATTTACATTACTATTACAGCTATGAAGTAGCAACAAAATAATTTTATGGTTGGGGCCACCACAACATGAGGAACTGTATCCAAGGGGCCTGCCATTAGGAAGGTTGAAAACCATCGCTCTGTTGGGATTGGCAATGAAAGGGGTGGACTTAAACTATGAACTATGAGCTATGCCCATGGAGTTGTATCCCACATGTCACCAGCACCCTTTTGGTGTCACAGTAGTCAGGGAGTGGTGAGCAAACACTAGTGTTACAAGCAAAGCTGCATTGAACCACCCTTCTCTAGGAAGCAAAAGCAGGCCCCAATGGTTTGAATGGAGGAGTATAATAAAAATTCTACTGAGGAGTGGCTCGAGTCTCAAACCTGCCATGATGTATGCCGAGATAAGCTCTCTGCTTTCAAAAGCTCTGGTTCAGAAAATCCACTGGAGACTCAGTAGTCTTGCTTATATCATGGCTTCCCTGAGGAGTGGGTGGATGTCCCCCTTCTCCCCTTGTTCTATAAACTACAGAGCTCCCAAAGAGGCCTGGGATACAGCAGCACTGACCACGTTGGTTGTGGGTTGTGGTTCTGATCAAAACAGGGCCTCACAAAGCTTCCTGTGGTGGTTTGAAAGAAAATGACCCCCAAAGGAGTGGCACTATTAGGAAGTGTGGCCTTGTTGGAGGAAGTATGTCACTGTGAGGGCAGTCTTTGAGGTCTCCTTTGCTCAAGCTTCCCTTAGTGTAACTGTCAGTCCACTTCCTGTTGCCTGCCAGAAGCAGGACTCTCAGTTCCACCATCTACCTGCATGCCACCACTGTGCTTTCTGTCATAATAATGGACTGAACCTCTGAAACTATAAACGAGCCACCCCAATTAAATGTTTTCTTTATAAGAGTTGCTGGTGCTGGTGTCTCTTCACAGCAATGATAAGACACTTCCTGATGAAGAACTGTGGGCATATGGGTGTGGTGGCACATACTTAAAGCCCCAGGTACTTGGATGACTGAGGTGGGCAGAGAGCTGAAATTCCCAAGTTCAAAATTAGACTAGGCCAGACACTTTCTTATGTATATTTTCAAAAAAAATGTTTTTATTGCTGAAAACTACCAGCTGTAACTCCATCTAGTGCTCTACCAGCCCCAGCCTGCTTCAAGGAACTCAGTATCCCACAATACATCTGTCTACCTCATCTAAACCTTTTATTTAGACTAAAAGGGGAATTGTAGGGAAGATCTCACACACCTGAGGTACTGACCACGCCCGTTTGGGCGTGGACAGAGGGACATGGGAAAGGGGAGAGATAAAAGAGGAAAAGAAAGGAAAGCTCTCTCTTGGATCCCAGCCGAGGTTCGGAGATCATAGAACACTGACCCAGTTCTCATGTAAGTTACTTATCTCTATCTTACTAAATATCCAACTACCTTTGCCCGGCATCCTCGGTGTGACTCATTTCCCGTCACAATCAATCGTTTAAAGTTTTCACTGGGGCCATCTAGAAGGACTGCTTGGGTCGCTCTTCTCCCCACCTTCACCCTTCCGGTTGACTCACCCAGTGGCAGCTGCCATGATGCACCCGCCATCAGCTGGGCTGGCCGAACAGCAATGTGCGGAATCATGGCTCATGCCAAAGTTATGCCCAATCTCATGGGCCACTGTGGAAGCCACGCCAATGGCGTTCTCAGAGTGGTCCTGTTCAGAGAAGAGTTTCAGTTCAAGGTCAAGGTTTCATTTCTGATTTGCACGCCCTGGCCCACTTTGGTTTTGTTTTGAGACAGGGTTCCTCCATGTAGCACTGGCTGTCCTGGAACTCACTCTGTAGACCAGGCTGGCCTTGAACTCAAGTTCCTCCTGCCTCTGCCTCCCACATGCTGGGATTAAAGGCATGTGCCACCACCGCCTGGCTTACAGGCCTTTTTGTTACCTGAGCCTGATAGCTCTCCTCTGATTCCCCTAAGACTGAGTACATTGACTCTGTCTATATAACTTGCTATTAAGGAGTCTAAAGCCACTGTCCTCATGAGGAAATCACGTGCTCAGCACACTGTGTTTCCTGTGCTCTTAAAAAGACCCAGACTGTGAATGGCCTTGAGTATCCCCTCGAGTTGAGCAGTTGCCACACTTGGCTGACTGTTTTCTGAAAGCACCACATGCACAACCTGGCGTAGTGTGTGCTGTGAACCATCAAAAACAAAGCAAACAAAAAACCAGAACAAAACCTTTCAAAAGAAAGCAAAGAGAAAGAACAAATAGAGCTGTAGCAAGGATGCAAACCCATAGTCCCTGGTAGTGGAGAGGCTCAGGCAGGGGAGTGATTCACACCCAGATGTTTGGAACCAGCCTGGGTCATAAATATAGTGAGACTCATCTCAAAAGCACCAAACAGGAGAACAAAAGCAGAAAAAAAAGGGTATTTATACCAGGCATGGTGGTGTACATCTTTAGTCCCAGCACACACGAGATGGAATTAGGAAGAACAGAACTTCAAGGTCATTGTCAGCTAGATAGCAAGTCTGAGGCCAGCATGGTCTACACAGTGAGTTCTAGGCCAGCCACAGCTACATAACCAGGCAAGCAAAACAGAAAACGTACTCTTGCCAAGTCAGAATTTCAAAAGACAGGAATGTCCTCATTGTGACTCTTGATATAGGTTCTCGTTTCACAATGTAATGATTCCTAAGGATTCAATACCTCCGCATCTTTTTTCTACCTCGAGTTCCTGTTTTTACTCCCTCAGTCTCTGGTTTGGAATCATACACGAGAAATCTAGAGATCTGTTTATAAAGTTGCCTAAAAACCAAAATAAACTAGGATGAAGGAAAATTTAGCATCCTTAGGCCCTAGTAACTTCATTTGAAATATTTGCTCTTTTTAATGTGTTTTTCTTCTGCAACTATAAGTATCAATTTGGTTTTTCAAAGCCGGCCTCCTCTCTCCGGAGTCACTGTCCCTTTATGCAGTATGGTCTGAAACTCACCATGCTGACACCTCCAGACTGGTACACGGAGCACATAGCCATGAGTGGGGCCAGGCCAATGGTGGTACCTTGAAAGGACCTGCCCCTGCAGGAAGGAAAAAAAGATAAGTAATTCAGCTGGGAGGCTGAGAGAGCCGCTCCCCTGGGACAAGAGTGAATGGCTACCATGCTATGCACTAACCCCATTCCCAGATTATTCCTAAGGGGGCGAGCCAGGTAACCCAGGCAACTGGACAACTTTCAGGATACCACACCTCTGATTTCCTCTCACTTACTCCCTCAGTAGCATAGAGGAAAGGTCACTTTGCCCTCACAATGCAACCAAAGACTCTGAAAGGAAGAAGGCAGGGTTTGAAAAGCTGCGCCCCATTCCTGATTCGTGGAGAGTGGTCAGAGGCAGGAGGAGGGGCAAAGGGTGTGACACAGGCTACGGGCCCAAATGAGTCATGTCCTCTTCCACCAGTGGCCAGGGGCCCAGGCCTAACCACCAGTGGCATGTGTCTTAAGGGTAAAAGTGGGGATGCTGGGTAGCAGCTGTGGGGTTGACGTTTCATCCTCAAATCACACAGGGACCAAGCAAACAGCTGCATCTCTTTGGGAGCCTCACGAAGCACAGCTGGGTGCAGGGTGAGCTGTTTTCGCCTCTGCTCTGCAATGATGCACCTAACACGTCAACAGCCAGCTTTGTTCCCCCCAGTTTAACATACCCCTCTCTCTGTTGCACCCAAGCAGAGTAAGCAAGAGGGAATAGATGGATGTCTGATAAATGTCCCCTTAATAAATTCAGTATCTGCCAAACTGTATGATAACTTGTTGTTAGTTTACAAACTTGCACTTGGCTTAGAGAAGCCCTACTGCAAACAGATTCAAGGTGTTCCATCCAATTGTTCAGGCCAAACATTTCAGGAAACAAAGACTTGCTCAGTCAGTGGATGGCCCTTGCGTGACCACTCAGGTTTCAGGGACAAGGAAATATGGGAAACACCAGTTGCTATGAGAGGGTAGATTAAGGTATTGGCTGTGTTCAAGAGAAAGAAGTAAAAGTTTATTATCTATGTACCTTTTATTGTAACCACCTCAAATTACCCAGTTACCTGGGAAGGCCAACACTGATATACACCAATCCCCCTTGGGGGGCTGCCACCTACCACCTCGACTCTGTCAGTATTCTTTTCTCTCTGAGGCAGCTGAAACTCAGCATAGTCCTTGGCTGGCACTTCCTCTGGCCAAGCCTTCTCATCAAGGTCCTACAATCTGCCTTTTTGACCTCCCCAGGCACTCAGCCCTGAGATGCTTGGAGAGGCACGTGAAGGACCTGAGGGCCTGCACCGCGTGATGGGAGGACAGCTGACGTGCTAGATGGACGTGTTTCAGGCTGTCAGCTGTGACCAAGAGTCATCTGCTCCCCTAACAGACACTCAAGTGCCTCAGCTGCTCATCTGATTACGGGTGAGGCCCTTTTCCTCACATAGATGGGAAACACGTCACAGGACTATTACCATTCTTAGACTTTTTAACATTTTTTTCAAAGTGTGATAGGTCTGAAAAATGCCCGGGTATCTGGCCAGGGAGCAGTGGAGCTCTTGCACAACCAATATTTGCCCCTGGGGAAAGAATGGGTGAACTTAGTACCCCTATGGCAGGCAGAGTACCCCTTCTGCAGCCAGAGCTGATGCAACACTACCAGAAAAGGGCGACTTACGTGATTAGCTGCGCGTTGTCATGGCTCTTCTTGACAAGCAGCTTGCGCCTCCAACTAAGAAAGGACCAAAGGGTAGAGTAGGGATTCTCTGAAACTTCACACTTGTCTCCATGTGTCCACACCTCCAAGCCCACGAGAGCAATCCGGATGTTCAGGGGTCGGTAAAACTGAAAAGACACAGAAAGGCCAGCTCCTCCTACCACCCAGTCTGTACACTCAGAGCACAGCTGCTGGGAGCACTCTCTAACGAATCTGACCTCGACGCTACTGAGTCAGTGGCTGTGGATGTTATATGTACATGTGTCCTGTGTGTGCACATGTACACGTGGAGCCGAATTCAGTGTTGGGCCTTCCTCCATTACTCCCCACATTTTTTTTTGAGACATGGACTCTCACTAAACTAGGAGCTCATTGATTCAGTCTGACTCTGTCTGGCTTATGAGGTCCAGGGATGGACCTATCTCTGTCCTCTACACGTCTCCCCAACCCCCCACCAGCCTCAGTTACAAGCACATGCCACCATGCCTGGCTTTTACATGGGAGCTGGTACTTTACACGCCAGGCAAAAATAAAATAATAAATAAAACAAAAAGCCTCTCATGGACACAGAGGCCACAAAGGGATAGATTACATCAGTCAAAAAATGGGACAGGGGTTTCCATCCCAGATAAAAATGGTAAGTGGGGCACCACTGTTTGTGGTTAACTTTTCATGAACAAGACAAGTACTGACTGAGGCTCATGGAGGTTAAGAAATTTGCCCAGGGTCTCAGCAGGAAGACTCTGGAACCAGGAAGAACTCCAGATTATATGGTCAGGCCCTTGTGACAATCAGCCGCTGGAGAGTTGGGATCATATAATAGGTGACAGATATACACCTCCATATTATATACTATAATACACTACACACATACCCACACATGAACACGGGTACATATTCAGATCCCTCACTTGCCCCTAAGACACTGAGATTCCTGCTTGTGACACATTCATCATCACAAAAAGCCCAGAGCTTCTGAACTTGAACTCACTTCACTATTTTAAGGAAGTGAGCTTGGCTTTTTTTTTTAACAGTCTAGGAAAAATACTGTGGATTGGGCTCCTGATTCAGCACATGGGTGGACTCCTTCCAGTTTTAGTGTTAAAATGTTCAAGCCAAGTAGCTGGCTCAGCAAGTTTCAGAAGAGCTCTTGCATCTCACCCCCGGGGAGTGATTAACCTCCTGTGCTGGGAGGAAAGTAGAGGCTACAAAGAAAGGACATCCAGCAAGGCTTCCCCTGCGGGTCTGTGGCTTCCTTCTTGTGTGCATCTGATCACTTTAGTTTTTGTTTTTCGTTTGTTTGTTTGTTTGATGTGTTTATTGCCACTTCCATTTTTTTCATCAGTGCCTAAAGGTGAGTTCTTATCACCCAGTACAGGAGGAAAATTCCTAAAGCCAGCCAGCCAAGCCCTCCACCTCCCCGGCCTCCAGGACAAGGGTTTCCACACAGGTGGCAGTAGGAACAGCTTCCTGTATCCACCCCCATGCCCCCAGCACATTTTCCCAGATGTTGAGTGTTTGCTTATATGATCATTGAGACTCCATTGTTGCTGAGGTAGGAGCTGGAGACAGGACTCTGTGTCCCTCCAGGAAAGGCGAGTGTTTGACTTTCACCTGTTACATGCCACTGACCTATTTCCACAGCTGTTAAGGACAGATGTGGAAAAAAAAAATACAAGGCCAAGAACTTCCTGTCTAACGATTTCACAGCAACCAATTTTAAACCCTGAAAGTTTAAAACGTTTATGTGTCAACAGCAGAGCCATCTTTCCGGCCCAAGAGCTAGAACCCATGAACCTCTAGCAGGCCAAGAGGTAAGCCTTCAAAGTTCTACAGTTTCCTGAAACGGCTATCAGAGCCCCAAAGAGACCTGTGCAGGGAGGGCTGAGCACTTGCCTTGCATGCAAAAAGTCTTGGGTTCAGTCACCAATACTGCCCCTTTGCCAACCCTCAAAAGGAGGCACGTGACCAGAGCATACCAAGGCTTACTTGCTAAAGTCCACACTATTAGCCTGTGAAGAGGAGCTCCCATTGCAAAGTTACCTTCTCTGCATTTCATGAGACTACTTCTGGGTCTCAGAATGCCCTGGTTATATAGCTCAGCACAAACCTCTGCTAATCTCCTAGAAGAGGGGCTCCTCAGACAATTTCACATATCAGCTCCAGAGAGATGGACAGAACCCTGATTTTCTGTGTACATTCATTCTGGTCCTGATCCACTTCAACAGGATCGCTGGGCTTTCACCTGGAAGGAACTCTTAAACACATCCTCAAAGGGTTCTTAAATTAGGCTCTTCCTTGCCCAAAGTACCTCAACAGCCACTTCAGATGTGAGAAAGGTCAGAGGGACAGAGCTGTGGGTACCGCTGCTGTTTCCAGCCATCTGCTTCCATCTGATTTCTCTATGGGCAAGGGCACAAGATCTCATTCTTACAGAGTCCATCAGAAAACTATAAAAATAGCTGAAAGCCGCTGTTTGAAGCCAATGCTTGGACTTTACAAATTAAAACAAGGCCCCAAAATACCCCACCACCACCACCACCACAACAAAAAAACCAAAACAACAAAAAACTCAACCCTAAGGGCTTCTTGCCTCTGGTTTAACGTCGGGGTTTTGTCATCCTCCCCTCCCTAGCATCTATGGCACGGAATAGTCCTTCAAGGACCTGCTGGCCATGCCCAATTCAGCAACAAGAGCTCAGGTAGGTACGACCTCCTGTCTTGAAGACCAACTCAGGTGTCACCGCCTCCCCCAGAAAGCATACCTGGTCTCACCTTATCAACATAGTTGGCGATCTCCATAAGTTTGTGTTTGGTGGCATCCTGGTCGTGCCGATTCTTCTGAAACTAAATGGGACAAACAGAGCCAGGTAAGATCCTCTGACAGCTCTCATCCAAGGGCCTTTCTGGTGCCTGATTTCTTGTCAGTGAATGTGCTCTCACTCTCCTGGTTTTGGTGTGCAGTCCCTTTTAGGCAATGATCCTTCCCACAGTTCAGCAAGAGTAAGACCCCCGCTTGGCACCTCCATCTCCCAACTCAAGGCAGGATGGAGCAGGCACAGTTATCTTCTCTGGCCCTTCAAGTGATCTTATTTTCCTGTGCGTTAAGTTACAATGCCTCTGGTTAAGTCACTGGTGAGTTAGAAGACGGACAGGTCTCTTTACTTTGCTCATCACCCCCAGTAAGAAACCACTGCCTCACATCTTACAAAGCTTGCCTGCATGTGGTCAGTTAACCCTGATCTAATGGTTGCTGAATCAGTCTACAGACAAGCTGTTGTGCTTAGTGCAAAGGTGGGGGTGGGGTACAAATGCTACATGCTGACCCCAGACTACGGAGCTTCAACTACAATGGTGAGAGAGCTAGATATAACTACAATGACAGATCCTCTACTTAGGAGGTACATGGTTTAAAAGAGCTACAAAAATCCACTGCAGAGAAGGGCCATGCAAATGTCACATAGAGGGTGCCCTCAACGGGACCACGTGGCACCAGCAAACAGGTTTTGCCTTGCACTCCATTCCAACTGGCAGTGCCTTCTGCAGTGAAAAAGATTCTGAAACTTCACCATTGTGAAGTCAGACATTGCTGATCAAGCATAGGAGAGAAGATGGTGCTGTATTCAATTAGAATGTCTGCCTAGAGTCCCAAGAGGCAGTCTCATATTTACTGCTTCTGTCTGAAAGGGGCAGACCTCTTTCTTTTACCTTCAATAATGAAGTAAGGACATCATCAGGAAGTAAAGATAAAAAAAAAATTTAGAACTGTAACCTTTCCCAACCCAAATGATGGACATGCCTTGTCTGCTGCCATTTTTACACAGGACATAATGGAATTTACTGTTAGGTGGGTACTATGTCCACTCAATTTCAAGCTGTCACATGTTTCCTCCCTCCCACTCCAACAGAAGAAAAAGAATAAACAGCTGAATAAAATACCCTGAAATATTTGGCAAGGTCTGTGTCCCAGCTCTGGTACAGAGAAGGGTACCAATTTCTCTTGTAGAATCTAGAACATTCGTTGACTTCAATGTAACTGTCTCTCACCAGAAGAGAACCCCACTGCTATCCTTACCTCCTACAGAGCTAAATTCTAGTACCCTGCTGCGTAGACCTTTGCAGAGTGTTTAATCTAGAAGTCTCCATTAGGACGATTCCTGGCTTCTAAACTATCTCTGTGGCAGAGTATTTCCACTCATTTAGTAAATATTTATTAGAGCATAGGGATGAGATTTTGGGCTTCCAAATATATTAATCCTGTCCTCAAACAGTAAGGCCCAGAAAGGCCACCATTGTTGAAGCAGCGTATCATGTTTCCAGAAGATTCTGGAGCAGGGATTGATAGGCTTACTCTGAAATGCACCACAGAGTAAACATTTTTAGGCTTGGTGGACTACATGGTTGTGGATCACAACTACTCAGTTATGCTTGGTGGACCAACTACCCAATTCTGCTTTGGTGACCGAGAAGCTTCCCGGATACCATAAACCAAAGGATGTGCTTGGCTCCAGTATACTATTCATAGGAGCATGTGTTAGGTCCACATGGCTGTGGGCTGTAGTTTACAACCCCTGGTCATAAGAAAAATGTGTCTCAATGCTATACATTCTGGGATGACCCTGGAAGTATAACAAGGTATGTCAACCATGCCCAGATCCCTCACATCCTGCTGGTACCATCAAAGTCCTTTACAGGCTTCTGTCTCCAATGTGAATCTTACTCTTTGCTCCCTTACATTTTGTTTCACTTAATGAATGAATCAACATGTCCAGAACCACCCAAAAGGCCCCTCTTATGCTCCACATCACCTATGGAATGGACATGCTCACAAGCTCGCACTTAGAACTAGGCAGAGAGATGCTGATTGTTCACTTTCACTCCGACAGATCTCTAGATGGTAGTACCATGGCCTCACTTCCCAGCACTTGCTTTCCCACCCAGAGACGCCTGCTCACTGCTCTGAGTTCAGAGCCCAGAGGAGAAGGCTGCTGAGTCTGAACTGCAAATACCACAGCTTTCCCTTCATTTATCTTCCCATAGTCTCAGATTAACTGCGAGGAATACATTTCCACCTGCAGGTTCCGGGCCTTGCAAATCTTGCCTGGCCTATTCCACTACAACACGAATCCGAGCCTAGACCTGAGGGAGGTTCATGACCCTGAGAACCGAGAGAGCCCTTCACCTACCAGGAAGTGAGAGTCACGGCACTGTAGAAAAGGGGGTGTAGGTGCCTATTCTACTGGTGCTTAAAGTTGCCCCTGTGCAACAGTGAGATTCTCGGGTTGGCCCCACAGTCATGAAGGTGTCTCCTGCAGACACTTTCCCTCCCTGCTTTGCTGTGAGTCTAGACATCAGGAGGCTGAAGGCTCTCCATCTTCACCTACTTCCTCTTCGGCACCTGCTGGAGACTCACATACAGTGGCTTTTAAAGCCCTGCACCACTGGGCAAAAGGAGTAATCCTCCTCCCCCTTTTAACCAGAGCAGTGGGGTTTCTAGGTGCCTGGTCACAGGGCCATTTATCTGATCAAATGATCTTGTGGCTTGGGAAAACAACGGTCCAAGACCTTTGAATCAGATGACACTAGATGCAAGGCTTAAATGGAGAACTATTCTAGAGGAAGGGGCTACGCTTTCTCCCAGCAACCTTCCCAGTACAGTGTGGTGGTAAGGGTGACACTGTGGGACAGGTTGATTGGGAGCCTGGCTGGCTTTAAAATCAACCTTTGATACTGCTCCCCACATCTGCACATCAGTCTACAGAGAGGAAGAAAAAAAAACCAAAACCCAACCACCACCAGCTGCTGGGGAAAAAAGAAACCAATGCCAACATCAGTTAAAAAGCTAAGCTCATCTGAGAGCAAACACAATGTTCTCTCCCTAGAAAGTCCATCACCCACTCCGCTGCCCAGTAAGCTCCCCCTTCCTCTAAGGAGCTCAAGGGCCATCTCTTCCTGCCTCTAGCACTCAACGGCAGCTCTCAAACCTGGGCTTGAACCCTCCTACCCCACCCCGGCACTCCCCCGATCCACACTGTGGGGCTGTGGAAAAGAGACCTCTGGGGGAAGCTGTAGGCCCAAGTAGAGCAGGTGTGAGACAGACTGAGGAGCTCCACCTTCACGGAGGACAGAGTTTTGGTTCAGTGTTAAGCCAGAGCACAGAAGTGTGCTTGGCTGTGGCTGTGTCGCTGCATGATGTGGGACTTAAAGGAAACACCTGGTTAATGGAAACGTGGGTGGTGGGTACGTGGTCCTTGTATCATGTTAGGTCAGCTCCTGGAAGAAAGCAGGACTCCGTTGACTCTAGGATAATTCTCCACTGGCGCTATGTTGTGAGCTGCCACCTTCAACATTGCCACCTCAGAGAGGATTTCTCAAGTCCCCAAACACATCAGATCCTCTCTGTGCATTCTAGACATCGCCAAGGGACCATTTCAGTGGCTATCATGCTCTAGAACTACAAGGGATTTATGGTTCTGCTGTAAAGTCCAGAGTAAGGAGTGGCTCTGGCTCAGGGCTGCATCCTAATGCCCAGCACTATGCTAGCACGCCATAGAAAAATTGTGAAGTCACCCAAGAAAGTGAACCAAATGATCTAGCCAGGTGAGTGGATGTTTGTGAAATCTTAGGGCTTGTCCAATCTGAAGACTATGAATTAAGGGGTGACCCTGCTCTATTAGGCTAGGGGTTCCCAAGATCACCTACTATGTATTAAAACTACCCCCAATGTCTTATTAAAACATGGATTGTGGGACCCCACCCTGAGAAGTTGGGGTATAAGAGATCTGGAGCAAGGCTCAGAGATTTGCATTTTTCACAGTTCCTAGGTGCCACATACGCTGCTTCTCTGGGGACATTTGGGGACACCAACATGGATCTAAAAATAGATGCATATGAGGAAATGGTATCTGATCAGACACTGAAGACCTTGCTACCTTTGTAAGAAGGAGGTCTAAAAGACTCTAAAGAACTGTAGACTGTCCTAAGAACAAATATCAGAACCTTAGGAGCTTGGGACCCTGTCCAAGTAACGCTGTGCTTATGTTCACACTAAGAACTTTCCTTGGCTTTTGGTTATTGTTGATTTATTTTTCTCCTGACTATTTAAAATGGCTAAAAGAGCCCTTGGCCAGATTTAAGGTCAAATTTATATGACAAACTAGAACAAAACTATGACTGTGTCCACATCTCCGCTAAGCAGCGGAAGGCAGAATGGGCACCCTCTCAGGAGAGGATTTTTTTCTGCTGAGATCCATCGCTGATCCCTTACCTCTGCATAATCGGCCACCAGGTACAGCTCCACATACTTCATGGACTGTAAATCTTCCCGTTTCATCTAGGGAAGACACAGAAGCAGATCAGTGCAGTAGGAACAGTTGGCTCCAGCTCATCCAAAAAGCTGCTGAGAAGCTGTGCTGGTTAACAAGCTGTGACCTTACTCCTTTTAAATCTAGGTGTTAGAGACAGTCCTGGCTGCAGCCCACCACCTCCATCTGCAACTGGTTATTGTTAGAGGCCTTTCTGAGCCATGGGATCTAATCCCTTTTTCTCAAAAAAACAAGAAGCCAAACTGGCTAGTCCAGGCAAAATTGGAGCCAGCAGCCCATGAGGGAACATGTTGACAGCTTAGTTCTCAAATGGCCTTGAGACCACAGACCTCTGTTTTCAGTGTGAACAAAAAACATTTTGTACATTGGATGAGGTGGCTCTTCCAAGAGGGGAGGTGGACTTTGTTTTTTTTTTAAACCTTATACAGCTTCGGAAATCAGTGTCTCAGAGCATTCTAAATACAGTGGTTCTCTTATGACAGAGACTCACTTCAACAATCCCAAGAAAGGAAGAAGGGGAGGGGGTGTTTCCCCTTTCTTACCAATTCTCCTTCAATTTAGAAGTACTTCTGGAATCAAAGTAAGGGTGCCTAGAGGGGACAAGCTCAGATCAGCCTGATAACTCCACTGGGATCCTAAAAACTCACTCTGCGAGGTTGTTTTTGGGTCTGCTGTGTAAACTGAAGGGCCCAGTCCTTAGCGGTGGGCTTGGAGTGCTCGAACCCACAGTTTCCCGGGGGCAGCTTGAGATGTTCAGATCTGTAAATACGGTGTTGGCTGCCGCTGTCAGGGACAGGCTCGATGATGTAGCTGAGGTTACTTGTCACTGTAATCAGTCCTCTGCGGAAAAGAGAAATGGAATCTCTGATCAGTGCTGAGAGGGTTCTGGAAAAGTCCACCACATAGGTTCATATGCTCAATACTTCTTCACCTTATAAAGGGCAGGAGCTCCTCTGTGAAGGAAGACCTGATGCATGCTCAGAGTCTCTAAAGAGAAATACATGCACTTGTATGATCTCAGAGCACTTGGACTTCCCTGACCTCCTTATGAGGCTTTAGACTGGGACCCCTACAGGCCTCAAAATCAAGCATGGCATATGACAACCATACATTAAAACTTTATAGACCCAGAAGCATAACAGTGATCAGAGAAAGCACACTGGCCTGTAGGCTCTAGATTTAACTACCACTCAGTGGTCACACTCCCGCAAGAAACATCTTGTGTCCCTCTGAGACTCAATCTCCTCAACCCTAAAATAAAAATGATAAATTACTAATTCATCATGGCTCTGAAGCAACCAAAGGAAGATGAGTGTCCTTGTGCCTGGGAGCCAAGTGGTATTCAATGGCCAGTATTCCTACCCATCCCAACTGTCCCATGCTAATGAGGCAGCTATCACTCACTGGTGAGGTGATAACCATAACTAGGCTTAAGTGACAATCTTCCACCCAGTATTCAACTCAAAGGTATGTGCTGAGGTACTTAATTTCCTCACTCACTGAGATTTCACTGTGTTCTAGATATCATCTAAGCACATATAATTTTGACTGTTGGTCTCCACAGGGTCCAGACTCCCAAGGAAACAATAATCACAGACATTCCAGACTGTATATAAAATGGTGTGCTATTAGTTTATAACCTATGCGTGTCTTCCTGTGTATTTTTGTATTACTGCTAGATTATTTATAATGCCAAGCGAAATGTAAATGCTGAGGCTGGAGAGAAGGCTCAGCAGTTAAGAGCACATGCTTCTCTTTCAGAGACTCTGGGTTTGGTCCCAGCACCCCTGTCAGACAGCACACAAGTTGCCTCTTACTCCAGCTCCAGGGGATCCGATGCTCTCTCTTGGCTTCAGCGGGCCCTCCTCACTCAGGCACACACACACATATACATTAAATAAATAAAACTTTTAAAATGTAAAAATTTGTTACATGTGCCTTATAAAGACAAGAGAAAAATATGTGTGTTCAGGAAAACATTTTTTTTGGTCAAAATATTGGATTCACAGCCGGTTGCATCTGCAGAAGTGGAATGTACGAGCTCAGAGAAACAACGGCACTCATGGCTGGCAGAAAGACAGCCACTCTGGCCACCGTGGTACTTGTTGAGGATGGAGACATGAACAAGCCGAGGTGCCTGCCCTGCTGAAGAACAGCATCTGAGCAGGGAGGAGTCACTGTGACTCATGGCCTGTCATCGGCCCTGGCAGACACCCTCGGATTAGATGCAGCTGCTTGGAGCAAGCGCTGCACTAAGGAAGTCTCTGGAGCTGTATGCATTCAGTGAGCACTTACAGTCCATGGCTTCACAACGACCAATGGAGGTGGGGAGATGCCCATAGGGCAGCTCTGCTATCTCATCCATTGGCATCTATGACGTGCCAACCTTCCACTGCGATGTGGGGACGAAAACAGAGTGATGGTCTGTAAACTGTGTGTCAGATGACTAGGTCTCCTCTGTCATCGTATCTCCTAGGGAACGGGTACCCTGCCACAGTCAGGCCCATCGGATTGTCAACAGTCACACTTCTGAAGAGTGTTCTTGGCATCATCAACTGTGGTCAAGAGTAAATGTGGTATGTCCTTTGGACCCACTCTCCAAACCACCATCCTCCATACAGAGAGATAAGCAAGACAACCAGGCCGTGGGTTCCCGACTCTCGGAAAGATGACCAAATCACCAGGATACTGGAAGCAAGTCACCTAGGATCTCATCCCTTTGAGCACTCCAAAACAAAGGCATCCTCTGCTCAGCCTCTGGCACATGAGCAGCAGGACTTCTCTCTTGGGCTGCTTAATGCCCACATACCACTGTCCTCTTGGGATGCATGGAGATGCCCACCCAAGTTTTGTCCTTTAGTAAGAGCCCATGACACTCTCAGGAATGATATCACAGACTCAGGTGGGTAGTAGACCTTTCCTGACCCCATCCCTAGCTGACCTCATCCCACTACCAGGAAGCCTATCAACTTCCTGGCTGCCTTCTGGCTGACACAGCAGCAGCCACCTGGCCTGGTGAGACACCTAAGGCGTTCCCTTAACAGCTAGGGTGGAGGGCAAAGAGCGGGGGGGGGGTCACAGCCATTTCCCTAACTCCACACAGGAACCAAAGGGTAAACTGCACATCCTGTTCCCAAGCTATCTTCTCATCCCAGCTGCCCAGGGCCTCTCGCATCATCCCAGTTTCCTCTAAACGGCTACAATGCTGGCCACACAATGAGGAGGACCACAAACCAGCTGGTGATCCTGCGTGCACCAATATTATACCAGTGAATGGAAAGTTACCCGTAGAAATCTGCGAAAGTCTGAACACAGAGCCACAAGGCATATGATTGACTTGCTGGGATATGAACAAGCCCTTGGCCAAACAGGTCAGAGGTCAACAGGAACCTGGCAGCAGGGTGGATAATAATCATCATAGTAACTATAAATTTTTAGCTTTTCCATGGACCAGGCACCAAGCTGATAAGCATTTTATCTCTCATACCAACTTTTCTGAGCCTTACAAATATTTTTCCCATGGTACAAATGAAAAAAAAATTTATGTTCAAGATGAACTGACCCATCCACACGCACACGTAGTAAAGAGTTAAAATGGGGGTGAACTCAGCATTCTGGTTCCACATCCCACAACCTTCACCCTGATGTTCTGCCATCTTTCATAGGTGCCCTGGACATTGGATCAGAAAGACACACATGCCCTATGTGCATATGGCTATAGGTGATGGTGCCAGCCACTCCCCTCTGAAGTGAGGCCAGGCAGAATACAACTGGCCTGGCTGTGGAATCCTAGTTCCCTCAGAGACAACAGGAGACAGCTGTCCTCCCTCCTCCTCAGACACTGTTTGCTGTGAGCTAACTAACCACTTGCAACCAGACTGCAGATTTTACTCTCTCTTCATTCCACACCACATTCCAAGGCTGCCAGCATCATGGACCTCACTTTATCAATGAGGAAACTGAGGCTCAGGGAAATTAGAATCAGAGGTTTTCACCTGTGGCCAAGGATTTCATGGAAACCTTCTTTGTTCCCTTGTGCTCTGTGCATCAGCCTCCACTGGTTAGCTCTCCGCCTGTGCCCAGAGATCCCAGGACCAGAGTTTCCAAACTATTCATCAACCTCCAGAAGGTACCCAGGCTATCCCAGGAGACTCAGGATCTGCAGGCCCAGGATCTGCACTTAGTCCCACAGGTAATGCTCTGTGACACTCAGGACTTCAGGCAGGAGTCCATGCTCTTGCCTGGGTTTCCATGGCGCTTGAGCAGTTGTCTCAAGAGTTAGGCAGTCTGAAAATCTCAAACTTGGGACAAGCACTGAGGTTATCCCTTCCAGCAACAGGATTCAGTGACCCCTTTCCCTCTCTCCACCCTCCACTATAGCCCTGAGAGAATTACTCCAGTCCCAGGGAGCAGGGACCCTCCTGTAGGACTACTTACAGATGTATAAAGAGGTGACACAAACCTAATACTTTACAGTGGACCCCAGATTTGTTGATGGGCACTTTCTGAGAATGACATTCTGTGGGCTCTCTCCCCTGCCATCAACTCACAAGTCACCTAGACTTCTCCCTAATCCCCACACTCAGCCATCATTTAACCTAAGAGCCTCGGCTGATTCAATTTGCTAAATGTTAGCTCTGGCAGAGGCAGAGATCAGAAGTGGGGACAGAGAACCCAGGAGGCAGAGGGCCAGGATGCTACTCTCCAGCCTATTCCTCATCATTAAGAGAATGAGAAAAAATAAATCATAAAATAAGATCATATAGAGGAACACGGGCAGGTCGGTCAATCAGGAAGCAAGAGGTTCACACTTAACCCACAAATGACTGAAGACTTATTCAAATGCATCCTTCAAGACATGAGAGAGAAGCCACTCCAGGAGGAGATGTCCATTAAACACACAACTGCACATCCACCATCCCTAAGGAGACATCCTAAGAGTTAGCAGCCCTGCATTCCTTCTCCCCGCCACTCTCCCAACCTACACCCACACTAACAAGCCACAAGGAACTTCCAAGACAGCACAGAGGGAAGAGAGGCACATGGTCCTGAGTTCCTGCTGGGACAGAGGCAGAGTACAAGCAGAGAACACAGGTTCAGGAAGGAGAGACATCCTGCATGAGAACCTTGGCTCTGCTGTCTCCTGACACAGTCCTCTCCCAGAGCAGCTGTGTTAACATAATCAGGCAGTGCTCACTGACAACCAGGGAGCAATCTCCAAGAAAGCTAGCAGTCATGGAAGCAGGCTGGACAAAGGAGATACAAAGCATTTCGTTGGGGAGCCATTCAACACATCTGCACAGAGCACCTGCCAAGAGGCAGGACTGTTCTAGCCCCTGGGAACACAGCAGGATCCAACTAAAGAGCTTGCTGTCAAGGAGATGGGGCTGATCACCTAATGTGACCCCACCAATGGCATAAACACCACTGCTTCCTTCTTACTGAGACTTCGGGAGTGTATCAGACCATCTGGGGCCAGTGAAATGACTAAGCGGGTGAAGGCTCTAGCTACACAAACCTGGGTTTGATCCTTGGAACCCATGTTAAGATGGAAGGAGAGAATTGACTTCATGAAGTCATCCTCTGACCTCAACATGAGTGCTTCCCCACAATCACACACAGCCACCCCCACACACTTATACATACACAATAGCAATAAAGTCATTTTCAAAGGACTGTGTTAGTTGGCAGGTGTATCTGCATGTGGGGAGCATATGGAAGTCAGCACAGCCCTCGGTGTTGTTTATTGTTGTCCATCTTGGATTTTTAAGACTAAGTCTCTTAATGACCTGGTGCTCACCAATTAAGCTAGGCTAGTGGATCAGCAAAGATTCTAAGTGTGCATCATCATACCCAACTTTTTAAAGGGGGAAAGGGCTGGGAAGTGAACTTGGATCTTCAGGTTTGTGTGACTGAGCTATCTTCCCAGCCCTAGTCTCCAGCTTTTAGAGCAGAAATGGTCTGCCTCTAGAATCACAGTCTAATGGTCCTGCCATCCATCCAAGGGCTTATTCGGCCCAGGACATGACAGGTGGGATTTATTATCAAGCCTGTAGAGGAAAAGCATGGCTTCAGGGAACGATCCCCTCCTGCCCCGAGCCTCTGCTCCTTCTCCGTGGAGCCTAGGACTTCCCAAGCTAAAGGTACTTTTTATGATCTAGTCTACTCAGGTTTTAGATAAGAAGAAATCCAGGCTGGATGGCGAACTCACTGAGTGAGTTAGCATGAAGCCTGACGCAGATTCTAGGTTGCTCATTCCAGAGTCATGGTTCTGGAATGAGCACTTCACCAAACCCACTATTCACACCCTTCCCAAGCACTTAGCTAGCTATAGGGCTGAGTGAGGCCCAGGGGAAGGGCCAGTCTGGCCAAGGTGAAGACAAGGGCAACAGTAAGTGTGGAGAACTGAGTCACGGGGATCACATGGCCATGAAGTGTAGAGTCTGAGCAAACGCAGGGCCCTAGAAGGGCAGTTCTGAACTCATTCCAGCCCGTGGGGTGCACACTGAGACACATTCTCCAGGACCCACTCTCAGACTCTCTCCCTGGAGCGTAGACTGGGAGTCCAGGAGCCAGCCAGCCTGTCAAAGCAGAATTGCTGTATGAGCCCCAGATGCTGGACGAGAGAACTGCTGTGACAGAATGCTGATCCGTCAAGCGGATCTGGGAGGATTATTTATTGCTTACCATGAGAGACTGTCTCTATAATTCAGTTTACCAGACTTTAGGACATCAGAGTTCAAGGACATCCTGAAGTGATTTGGCAGATTGGTGTGCACCTAAGACTTAGTTATAAGCCGGAAACACATCACAAAACAGAACTGTATGCATGGGACGGTCTCACGTGTACATCACAGACAATGCATCTAGATTGTGTATACCCTCACAGCCACCCGAGGAGAAATGGGCTTGGGTGGAAGGATAAGAGGACAGAACTTCCACTAGATTTTAGTTTATACTCCTATGTGGTCTGGATGTTTAACTCTAAAACTATGTTGATTGCATAATGGAAATTTTCAATGAGTATTGTCTTATAATTAAAAACAAACAAAAACACCTTACCGACAATGGATGGGACACACACACAGGTTTTGTCAAGGACATCACAGTCCAGCACTGGCTAAACATTTCCATAAATGACCACAGACTTTAACGTTAGTCTGTTGGTTAGATGTGAAGATGCCTCTGGCAGACGGGGCATTGTGGTAACATTTGCAAGACAGGTTTGTAGTGGGAGGCAGGCTAGAGTGTGTGGATACCCGCATCCTCAGTGAGCTGTCTCTCATCGTACCCTTCAATGTTCCTTAACATTTGGATTTGTTTTAAGTTGATCGGGTATTATTTGTTTAATGATAAACTGACTTACACAGTACTCTGGAGACACCAGGCCCTGGTAACCACCCAGAGCACTGGTTTTCAACCTGTGGGTCTGGAACCCTTTGGGGGTTGTGCCATATCAGATATCAGGCATATCAGATATTTACATTATTATTAATAACTATAACAAAATTACAGTTATGAAGTAACAAAGAAAATAATTTTACGATTGGGGGTCACCACCGCATGAGGAACCGTATTAAAGGGTCACGGCATTAGGAAGGTAGAGAACCTTTGGTCTAGAGGCTCTATTGACTCCTAGAAAGGAGTCAGCCTGAAGAGCCTGCCTAGCATACATCCTATCCATTTTCTCCAAGCACAAGAGTACATTACCAGGAGAGATGAATGGTTGCTATGGAGACTTTCCATGGAAATATCAGGCTTCTGGGGCCTTGGGGAGCTATTTGGGTTTGAACACTGCTGTCATTCCTGCCTCTGCTCCTGGGACCCAATGTGTCTGTCTTGCAAGTTTTCAGCTCTTAATTCAGCCTGGCCACAACCTCATTTTGTTAGCATGTGGAGGGAGGAGAGGGCTGGGAAAGAAAGGCATGTGGACCCCTCCAGATGGAAGCATGCAAAACAGAAACACATGGGCAGCTTGGTGAGAGTCCCCATCAGCCCGACTGCTGGGATGACGTACAAGAGGCCAAGCCAAGTGTGTTCCCATTGCTCCAGACCCAGAAGGGACAAAGGACGAGGCAGAGAGAAGCAGGTCACACCTGCTGGTTCCCTTTCCTCCTTCCTGGGACAGCCTTTGTTTACTTGCTGGCTGCAGGTGGCAGAGGCTGAGCCTATAAACACCACTGAGAAGCCAGTTGGCTGGACTGGAGGAGGCCACTTGAGTGGAGGATATGAGACCACTGTTAATCACCTTCCAGCCAAAACCGATTTCCTGCCTAATTCCCTCAGGCAACTAGCCACAGCGTTTGAGCGATGTGAACCAACTCATAAACAGACGTGAGACCTGCAATCAGCAGAGCCCTCAGTTATATCTGGGGGCGGGACTAAGCTAGTTCAGTCTTGGAACAAACCTTGTATGCTGCTAAAGTGCTACAGAATTAATGAAACACTTAATCTCCACCATACCTATCATGGGTGCCCTGAGGATACAAAAATTAAAATGCTTGCTATCCGCCAGTGCAGGACATGGGCATATATTAACAAATGACAGAAGCAGCCACTGATTTTAAAAAAGGAGAGGGGAAGGAACCACCTCCTACAAGCTCATGAGAGCCACAGTGGACCTGCATTCCCAGTTCTGCCTTTGATAACACTGAGCGGGTAGTTTAGCAGCAGCAGCAGTGAGAGTCTTGTCCCCAGCGCATAGTTGGCTATGGCCAACCAAGGACTTTTGCTGTTATTCCTAAAGTCAGTCAGCACCCTGAGCTCGAGCCATGAAGTACGGGTGCCCAAAACTCAGGTAAATTGTGTTAATAAAAGCTCAGGTTTTTCAAATAAGTAATGGGGCTATAGCACGGGCCTGTAGAGACGGCTCAGCAGTTAGGAGCACTTGATGCACTTGCAGAAACCCAGGTTTGGTTCCCAGCATCCACATGGATCACAACCATTTGTAAGTCTAGCTCTACGGGATCTGATGCCTTCTCCCACCTCCCACCAGACGTGTGCTGCTCCTCCCTCAAACCCAGGTAGTTTGGTTTAGGGACGGAAGCGTCATCCCTTTCCCAAGCATCATCCAGTTGGAATTCTCCGGTTGATTTTCTGTCTCAAAAGTTATCCTCTCCTCTCTCAGTACATCTTATTTCCTGCTACCCATCCTGAAAGTCCTTCTGTCACAGAGAGAAGGTGTGGGAGGGATGCTGAAACAGCTTGGAGTCTACTGACATGTCACTTGTTTTCCCTCTCCAGGTTTCACTTTTAGAATCTCACTGACCCTGGAGAGAAGATCCCCTCATGGTTACCCAACTCCTAGAGATACATCTTGCCACCTAGAGTGCCTTTCAGTACAAGTCAACCAATAGCCCAGGTCCAGCTACCAATTGTCTTGGTTTCTCACCCTCTGACTCACTGTCCATCTACCCATGGAGAAATAAGTACCAAATGACTTCATGGACCCCATGTCTCAGAGTTCACTGAAGTTACTCATACTAGCCACTCCTCAGACTGCTCACCAAACTCATGTACTCCTTCTCTGCACCAACCCATATGTCCCCCCCTTCCTACCTCTTCTCATGCCTGTGCTTTCCCACACATGGATTAACATGCCTCTTTCTACTGTGACTCACTGCCTGGCAGCTACATCTGACAGCTTTTTATTGATGCTAACCTTCCAGTAATGGCTGTCTCTTGATTAGTTAGCCTTACCATTCCTAAAGAATAGAACTCAGATCTTCACATATCAAATTCATCCTGAAAGGTAAACCCAAACCCAGAGTCTGTATGGATTATCTGGGACTTCTGTGGCATCTCACAAGTTTGGCTCCTGTCAGAGTAGACACATGCCCAGTGGCCTCCTGTCCAAGGCCCTTGCCTTGGGTTAGCCCTGTATATCTTCCTGGAGATAGAACCAGCAGCTTCAGGATCTCTTACCTGATTCCCCGGCAGGTGCTGAGCGTGACGCTGGAATCCTCCACTTCTCTCACAGTTCCGTGGTAAAAGCAGTGATCCTGGCAAGCAGAAAGTGCTCGTGTCAAATGGCACCAATAAACATGATCATGTTAATGTCTCATGAGTGACAGATGACGGGTTAGTCATCTTATAACCTGCAAAAAGCTCCCAAGCCACCTCTCTGTTTGGTTCTTTAGTAACACAAGAGATAGCGCAGAGCAGATATCACCAGTCCTACAAACAGATGAAGATGTTGCAGATCATGTTAGGTTGGAGAATCCAGTTTCAGATCTGACATGTTAACTTTCTTAGAAAACAATCTTGTGAAGGAACCAGTTCTCATTGATGTCACCTCTATAACTCACTGTCATGGGTTGAATAGTGTCCTCCTAAAACTCTTATGTCCACTCAGAAGCTCAGAATATGACTTCATTTGTAAACAGGGTTTTGATCATGTCATTAAATTACGATATGGTCACAATGAATTAGAGTAAGTCTGTAAGTCTAACGCTTCATCTACTTACTGGATGAATGGACACAAAAGATAGAAGTCACCTGAAGACAGAGGAAAAGACTGAGGTGATATAACACAAGTCAGGAGCACTGAGGAGTTAGAGAAAGAAGGGGAACTCTTCCCTGGAGGCTTTACATAGAGCACAGCCCTTCCAACAACCGTTTTGGACCATTAGCCTCCAAAATGAAGAGAGAATCAGTTTCTCTTGTTTTAACCTCCAGGTTCATAGTGCTTTGTTAGAACAGCCTCAAGATATGAACACAGCTCAGGATGTCCTTCCTCCCTTGAGTCCCTCTACACCTGAACCCTTCTTCCTCGGTACCTAGGTCCATGAAGCCTGATGCTATTCTCTAGTCCTGATGCCTCACAGACATCTGGTCCGCCAAACCCGGCTAGAGTTCTGCATCTTTATAAACATCTCCATCTTCATATGCAGGCCCTGGGCCAGGCTTCAGAGACACAGATGGACACACAGCTCTAGTCCCTGGGGTTTATAGTCCTGTGAAAGCTCGTCATTAATAATTAAGAAGCGGCAGTGATTTGAGTGAGAAATGTGCCTCCCTCCCAGCTCAAGTATTTGAGCACTTGGTGATGCTACTTGGGCAGGTAGTACAACCTCGATGGAGGAAATGTGTCACTGGAGGACAGGATTTGAGATTTCATAGCCTCACCCACCTCTGGTTTGCTCTCTGCTTCATGTTTGTGGCTGAAGATGTGATCTCTCAGCCTCCTCCCCTGGCTGCCCGCTGCCATGCCTCTCCCACCACTATGGCCTAACCCTCTGGAACCTTAAAACCAAATGAACCCTCCCTTCTGTAAGTTGCTTCTAGTCATGGTGTTTTATCCCAGTAACAAAAAAGTAACTGATGCAGAGGTCAAACACATACAGCTGCAAATAAACACTTGTGGTAGCAGAGAAGGGTTTGCTCTCTAGGCTAATCATCGCAAGCAGGAAACAGCACTTCTGAGAGTACCTATGTGCTACGCCAAACACTCCCCTTCCCCAAACAGATGGTTAGCAGTAGGGATAAAACACTCTTCCCAAAGAGGTCAGAACTGATGCATCATCCAGAACAGAGGGTGAAACGGGAGTAGGCAGCAACACAGATTCTCAGGCTATCCCTGCATGACAGACAACATAAAGGTCCCATCTCCAGACTATGCTATTTGCAGTTGTTCCCGTGTGTGTGTGTGTGTGTGTGTGTGTGTGTGTGTGTGTGTGTGTGTGTTGTGGGAAATCCAAAAGGCAAGCCCACATACCTAGGTTCACTCCCCTCCCACCTCTAGTCCTGAATAGAGACCCAAAATTAAACTGAAACACTCTGGCATAGCCAAGCCAGCCTTAAATCCAGGCTCCCACATGTGCCAGCAGTGCATATGATTTCTCTGGCCTTCTACATCTTTAGCCTCCAACCTCAGAGACTCAGGTCATGAGAGTCCTCTCTACAAAGAAGCTAGCTGGACTGCTCCCTAGCCTAAAGATAGACATCAAACATTAGTAGTCATATTTTCATTGAATTCTTTCATTAAAGATAAATCATAGCCTCAGGGGACCCAAGAGACCACCAAGGGCTGACCCAAATCCACAACCTTTACGCTTCTAGTCTACATCCTATTCACCTGAGCCATACAGCTACGTTAGGAAGTGCAAGCCAAGCCCACACTCTTCTTGGGTGCCTTCTCTGGATTGCAGGTTCCCTGTCCTCAATGATTCATTAGCCAGCAGCATGGGTCATCTACCCATTCATACGCCACACAGTCAGGAGGGACAGCAACAGCCTCTTCTTGGCATCAAAACTCTAAACACGTCAGATTCTGACATTTATGTGAGCACAAAGGAAAACCACTGCATTGGGCTTTTCTTTGTCATCCCCCAGCACCAAGGAGGGCAGGTGATGTATGCACATACGCACAGTCTGGCTTCTTGTCAAGGATCCCACTGCCTTCGAAGGCCAACCTGTCATGTAGCTTCTCTGTCTGTCCCTGGGACAGGGGAACTGGAGGCAGACTGTCAACAATCAAGTTCTGGACCTGGTCCTTGGAACCCAACAGTGAGGCCACAACCCTGCCATGTAGAGCACTAACAATGAGAAGAATGGCCAGTTCTCCCTGGGAGAGGGGGGCCAGGCCATCCCAGGGAAAGTGGGGCTGGTGGACAGTGGACTGACTGAGAGTCATGCATTCAGAAATGAAGGTGGAACACGGTTTCAAGATGCCGGTTCCTTCACAAGTAGCGAGAACTTTGATCCAGAAGTAGCTAATAAAGAATTAGACCTCCTCGGCTCTCTGGCTGATGACTGACTGCAGCGTACACATCCCCTGCGCTCTCTGCAATGCACGTTCTACAACTGTCACATGCTCTATAATTTACAGAGGAAATGAGCACATGCGACCAAGTCACCTGTCACTTGCCCTTAGGCTCCTACTACTTGACAACAGTTGGTAATTTGTACTTCAATTCTGACCACAGCTTGCGAGGCAGATGATATTCCCTCAAGTTTGAAGGGGAAACTACAGCTTAGTTTGGGGGAGCTCTGCTTTCTGGCTAAAATCAGATATAGATTTAAAGAGCTTTAGTGACACAGTGATGTAGAAACATGAACCTCTGAATTTGGCCCTGAACCCAGCCCGCTACCATTCCCAACTGAGGCAGAATCAGCACCTGGCTGAATTCTCTTTTCAAAGCTCTTCTGCCGTCCAACAACCAAGTGGACATGCTCTAGTCTGAGTCTTGCCACTTTTAAATATAGCCAAATAACTTTTCCTCTCTCAATTCCCTCACCGGTGAAATATGGGATTAGAAAAGATATTTAGAAATTCCCATCAAAATCAGAGACTTGTCTTACCCTTCCATAGCACCAAGTCAGTTACCAGCACAATTATTTTTTGAGATTAAAACAAACAAACAAACAAACAAAGAACTCTGTACAGTCCAAAGGGTTGATTAAGGCCATACAGCTAGTGAAAGCCAAGACCGCAGCCCTGGCTTCAGATCCCAAACCTTGTCTTGCTCCTGGAACACATCCCCAGACCTGTTCCCCCAGTAACCTGACCTAGATTAGGGCTGTAACCTACAGGGCTAGCTAATGAGTCTTGATAAGATTCCCAGAATGCCTGTTAAGTTTGAAGGCAGAGTACAGTCCTCAGCATTTAGGCCAAAAGCAGCTATGGTTTATTGCATTCCCATTTCTCCTTAGTTTCCTAATGAGAAGGCTGCCTGGGAGCCCCCTGGGCCTGGGTGGGGACTTTGCAAGAATCCAACAGTGGTGAATGGAAGAAAACAGTGATGTTGGCCCATGGTTCAGCAAGGATGTGCTTCAGCCAGCAAGGCCCTCAGGAAGGAGGGGCATTCAGGGGACCAGGGGACATCCTCTCCCACTGCTCTTCTCTGAAAGGCCCTTAACACATCTCGGCTTGGTGCACAGCCGAGAGAGAGCACAAAGAGCGAGTCAGATCAGCCATGAAGTCATTGCATTCCGCAGCTCCTCGGGCTGAGGGGGCCACCCCAGGGGGCTTTCACAGCAGGAAGCATGAGCTCATAGCAAAGTTGTGCACTGAGACCCATTCTTGAGTTGAGGGTATGGAAGTGGGAGGGGCTGAACTCATAGGACGGTATTTTTGTGAAACTGTAATGGCTTTGGGCTTTCTCTACAGGGCACTTACCCAACCCCTCACCCGTTCCTATTCCTGGAAGCAGAGAATAGAAGTCTGAAGCAGGGAAAAGCTTGGACTAAGGGGCTTTGAAGAGGTGTGGGTCACAGTTGGATAGTTCCCCTGATACAGCCCAGTCTGCCCACTGCTGTCATTGGCTTTTCCCACCCAGGAAAAGTCTTGGGAAGAAGTCCCACTGACCTTCACACCTCCCTCTGGCTATCCAGCTCCTCTACTGTAGACCTTTTAGATGGGGTCTAAACTTAAGGGGTTCATCCTTTTCTCATTCCAGGGCATCCAATAAACTAAGCTCACCTGCTAGTAACTGACAGTGGCTGTCTTGTTAGACATCTGCCCACCGGCAGAGAAATTTGAAGAACGAGTCACATGGGAATCTATTTCCACAGATACTGTTAGAGGAACCTAACAGTGTGGATACAGAGCAGAGGAACCTCTCCTGCTCTCTACACGTCATACCTCAGATCTCGTACTGCTCAGAAGCCCCAACACAAAAGTCAATGTAGTTCGGGCGCTTCCCCTCCTGTCACATCTCATGAGCCCAGGCTCAGAAGCCTCGTTCTGGTCTTCTCCAACTGAGGCATTACTGGCTGGACTATGGCTGGATAAATCTATTGTGAGGCTCAGCTCTGGGTTCAGTAGGATGCTTCAGTCCCTGGCTTCTGCCCATAAGATGCCAACAACACCTGACACTCAGCAAGCATGCGTTAAACGTGCCTTGCAGGGGGAAAAAGAATCTCTCCTTCTGCTTGAGATCCACTACTCTGGGCCCCTGAATTTTAACATAAATCACCATGGAACAGCCAACAAATCATACGACAGGTCGAATTTACTATCTTAATTACCAACCAGCAGGGCACGGTGAAATAAATTAAGATGTAAAACCATTTTCAAAATGATGACTCCTTGACAATGTGCAAAAGTTTCCTGCTAAAAACAACTCTGAAGGGGGACATGTCTAATATTAAGACAACAGCAAAATTTTAAAAGGCTCAATAGAGCAGGGAATGGTGGTGAACGCCTTTAATCCCAACACTAAGGAGGCAGAGGGAGGAGATCTATGAACTCAAAGCCAGCCTGGTCTAAATAGACCCCATGTCAACAATTGCATTAAAATGGTATGATGTTAATATAAATGTGTATGCACAGTGATGAAAACTCTGCAAACCTTCATTTTCTTAAAAAAAGCATTAATCAGCATCAAATTGGGTGAGATGACAGGACAATGAGTAAATTATTCATTCTTTTTAAAGATTCTTAATATATGGTTAGTTAACATAGGCCTAATAGTATGTGTACTTCATAATGATTTATACATATTTTAATCAAGGTAGTTACCCTCAAATGTTCCATCTGTTTGCATCACCATTTTTGCCAGCAAAGGACAGGGAACAACTAGGAGACAAGAGACTTAGCTTCTGGTTGTCCCCTAAGTCTTCAGTCAGGTGAATAAGCCCTTCAGAGAAGGGGCCCCTGGAACGCTTATTTCCTCCACCTCTAAAAGCAGTACCCATTCAAGGCAGTGGGATGGACACATGTCTACCTGACTCACCTCAGATTTCAGCGTGGTGGTTTGAGGGTTGCCACTTGCAGTGTAGCAGGTTTCTGTGTAGGCTGGAGCAAAAAGGTGCCTGAAAAAATAAAAGAGCAGACATCTTTATTGACAGATTCCATCTTCCTCGTGATGGTGCCAGTGCCTTTAACTGAACCAGGAAAGACACCCCAACTATAAGAAACTGGGTGGCCATTAAGAAACCAAGGAACAAGAAAACCAGAAGGAAATTTGTCTCTGATTTAGTATTCAGAGATCATCACTCCAGCCAGATGGAGTAGACAATACTAAACCAACTATCTTGATTTGTTTTTCTGGGTCCTGAGAAAATGTACAGGCAAACACATCCACAATACCCCAGGGTCAGGGAACCCTATTGTAAAATTCAACTGATCCTTCCAATACTGTAAAGGACGACTTTTACCATGGGTGCCTCAACTTTTTCTTTATGAGAATAACCTCTACTAAATGCTTTTGGTGGTGTTGTCAATCAAGGGGTCCTACCTGGCCCTGGCCTATGCTTTAGGCAAAGCCAATAGAGTGATACCCCAAGTTCTGAACAGATGAGAGGAGTATTCATTATTCATGGAGCTGCTGATGCCACTGCTCATCCCTTCTGTGGGTCAGGTCTCCCAAGACCTGGCAGTTCTGTTTGTCACCATTCCAACAAATTCCCTTTTCCTTTTCCAAATGTGGATACTGTTTTCTCTCTTGCCACAGCCCCTTTGAAGCTGAGGCTAAGGATCCCTCACCAAAAGAGACACAGATCAGGCTTCCTAGAATTTCTCTCAAAGCCAAATGAAAAAATAAAAGACTCAAACAGATGTTTTAATTAACAGAACTGATCCCCAGAAGGTCAAGGTCTGGGAGCAAAGTGATTTCTGATTCCTAATGGAACAAAACATCAGAAATTCAAGTGTGACAGAAAGAAATGCATATTTATATATAAATGTGGGAAATCTAAAAAGTCACAGGGCATTTCAGAAATATATGTATTTCCCAAGTCTCCTAAACGTACCCCAAATGCATGTACTGAAAACAACTGGCAAGGCCAAGAGTCCTTTGTTAATGGTGACTATCTCGGGGGAGAGGAGATGTTCACAAGGCGAGTTACATATTGTTGCAATTAAAAAAAACATACTTATCAAATATTTTGAAAAAATGGGAAACTAATTCAAAACTCCTTTTAGAAGAAAACACAGGCCAGAAAGAACAGTCAATGGAATCTTAAGGGACACTAGATTTTGGAAGAGGTGACTCTCCCCAGAGGAAGGACATGGCTCCAAAGTCGAGGCTGGACTCTTCCCATCCCAGGATGCAGTCAGAAGGCAGATGGCTCAAGAATTGGCTTTCAGTCTTGAGAAGAAGCAGAGAAACCCAAGAGGGATGTGTCAAACCAGAAAAACACAAAGTCCAGCTGGCCCAGAGGAAACCTCAAGCCCATTTCCCATGCAGCACCCAGAAGATCCAGAGAGGAGTCATCCATGGGTCGGAGGGAATTCAGCAGTCAGTTAACACAAGGATGGAGGCCCTACAGCTAGCTACGCATGCTGTGTCTTCCAGCACCTGCAAGTTTACTAAGCGGAAGACACAGTTAACTGTGGAGGAAATTACTGAGTAGCTCAGCATGCCAGGGGCTTGGGGCGTGGCCTGGGATCTGAAAGACAGAGGCCTTGATTCCCGCTTTGACCATTGCTGCCTCATCAGGCACTAGTTGATTACTTTCGTTCTCCTCAGTTTGCTCTTCCTGTGAGTGAGGGCAATACACCTCTCGAATCAAACCATAGAATGATGCAGGTAGCAAGCTGAACACAAAGCACGGGAGAGTGGAGCTGGGTAGAAATTAATGATTATCACCATCACTTTTGTTTGATTCTGACTTGTGGAAACAGGGTCTCATGTAGCCCAAGCTGGCCATGAACTCATTATGTAACCAAAGATGAGTCCTGAATATGAGCCTCCTGTCACTGCCTCCCAAATGCTGGCATTACAGATGCAGATGAGTGACAACATGCCCTGTTTTATAGATGCTAAGGATTGAGCCCACCGCTGCGTGAGTGCCAGGCAAATATTCTCAGCCACCAAGTCACACTCCCTAGCTCCTCACTATTGCTTTCAACAAGGCTTATGTGGAAGAACCCAGAAAAATGAATGGATTTTCCTGTGTTTCTCTCTAACTCTCCCCAGCTATTAATTCACTCCATACATCACTTAAGAGAGAAGATGAAAAGCAATTAGCCCATTCCTATGCTCCATTTCCTGAGTTGTTTTCACAGACTCCATAATGGATGGCTGGTCAGAAGTTCAGAGTTTAATGGCATATCCTAGGTGCCAGTGAAGAGATGTAAATTTTCCCACAGGAAATACACTTGAGGCAAATACACCCTAAGCTTATTCTATGTCTTAATAGGGGGGGGGATCACTTACCCAGCAATAATAAAATGAGCCAGAAGGAGTGAGGGTGGGAGATGAGCCAAAGAGAATAATCCCAAGGAAGCCTCTGCTATGCCCACTGCCTATGGGCTCTCGGCCATGCTCGCCTGGGAGACAGCTTTTTTTGCAGCTTACTTGGGGGTTTGTCCTCATCAGCATGGGACTCTTGGAGCCTCAGCATTTAAGGTACCTTAGAAAATCAAATAGATTTCTCTCTGGACTACATACTTCCTTTAGCGCAGAGACCAGTGTTGTCTTTAAAAGCTCTGACTAACTCCAAAACCAGGCAATACACACTTATCCGGAATAGGTGGATGAGTGAATTAATGAACCAATGACCCTCCTACCTCGTATAAGAAGCAACTAGATAGCCATTCAGCAAGAGAAACTTCCAGAGATCCTGAGATCCTGAAACTACCACTCCACTTCTGACCTCATGTCCTCCCATAGGTAAAGTTCTCACCCTGATTTAAAAATGACCTCGCTGTATCCAGCACCCACTGGCTTCTTCCTGTTCATAGAATCCAAATCTGGAGGGCACAGCCTGCTCCCTTTGCTAACCTAACCACCATTTCTAAATAAAGTCTACTTTAAAATGCAAGTTAGAAGCCGGCCGGGCGGTGGTGGCACACACCTTTAGTCCCAACACTCGGGAGGCAGAGGCAGGCGGATCTCTGTGAGTTCGAGGCCAGGCTGGACTGACAGCCTCCAAAACAATACAGAGAAACCCTGTCTCGTAAAACCAAAAAAAAAAAAAAAAATGCAAGTTAGAAGCAGGGGGATAGCTCAGGAGCTAACAGGCTCCCTGCATAAGGGTGAGGATCTCATTCCTGGCAATCAAATGAAAATAGCCCAGCATGGCAGCCAATGTCTGTAAACCCAGTACTGGGTAGGCAGAGGCAGGAGGATTCTTGGGACTTGCAGGCCAGCCAATCTAACAGAAATCAGTGAGCTACAGACTCCGTGAGAGATCCTGTCTCAAAAAACAAGGTGGATAGCAATAGAGAAAGGCCCCTGCCCTCTGCCCATCACATGAACAGGCACCCAAGTGTACACCACACACAGAACGCCAAGTGTGGGGCCACACCCCAAATGTACAGCATCAAAAAGAAACTGAGGCTGGAGCCCAGCCTTCTGTCTTAACAACCCTCCTTCCAGGTAACCCTGATACAAGAGCAAACCTAGAACCAACACCCTAAACCACAAGTTTCTGAACAAACTCCAGAAATGTGTGTACATGTCTGACAGTTCAAGGCCTTCCTGCCTCCACACATCCTGGGCCGATGCAAACCGATGGGTTTACTACCCACCCACTTAACCGCTAGGTTATGCTGGTTTTGTACCTTCACAGCACAACTGGGAGGTAGGGATTCCTATTGCTCTGCTTTGACAACAAGGGGCCAGGAAACTATAAGTGAGCACAATGATGCTGGAGCAGGATTTCAACCCCACATCTGTGAGCCAGACTCTTTAAGCCATTTGTTCTGAGTCTCTGAGATGGAAACATAAAACCAAACCATTGCCTGGAACTTGTGTATCAAAGTGATGATGACAGTGGCCCTGAGGTTATACAATGTGTTGTGATCAAGGCAAGTATGCCCACTTGGACATGAATGTCTGCAGAGAAAAGCTATGGGGGTAAGCTAAGCACAGGACAGGAACGAGATGGTAGATAAGCAAGAACTATTGAGATAGTTCTATCTAAATAACCCTACAAGGGCTGTGGATGTAGGTCAGGAAGTCCCCCCCTTCTAGAAACAAAGAGGTCACGTTTCATCACCATCTGTTCAATTTTACCACTGGGGGTAAAGCACTGTTTTCAAAGACTCTCCTCTGGCCCCAAGGGAAGGCTGAATAGGCCCATGTGCCCAGGCAGGAGGACCCTGGCACTGAGCTGAGTACAGAAGTTGCTGTCATCTTCCCAGAGGGGAGACCACATACATGGATGCTGAATGTCCAGCTGTACCTTCTCTAACTACATCTTTCTCTCATCTCTCCGATAGGGGTCTGGCTCAGCATGATGGCAGGGAGCTGTGTCTTACCACTGGCATGTGGTAGGGGCTTTCAGGAAACGACTTGTGAGTTATGGAGATCCAAGATGAGCCTGTCCAAGTTTCCCACCCTCCACCCTCCCCCACTGGCTTTTCGAGAACAACCATTTCTGCTGTACTCTCTTGCCTCCAGTCCTGTCCATTCTGCACTAAGGAGCCCATGGGCAAGCAAAGAATATCAGAAAGGTCTCTGCCGTGTCTTAGTCACCATGGTGGTAATAGCAGATGACACCGCAGCCCTAGATAGGGGTCAAACCCTAGTCACTTGACCAAAGTCCCTAATAAAACCTCTCCCTCTTGGGGCTAGAGAGATGGCTCTGTGCTTCAAATCACTTGCTGCTATTGCAGAAGACCCAGGTTGGGTTTCCAGTATCCACATGGTGGCTCACGGTTCCAGGGGATCAGGCACCCTGCTTTGACCCCTGCAGACACCAGGCAAGCAAACTGTGGACGTATAATACATGCAGGCAAATACTCTTACACACAAAGGAAAATAAATCTTTTTTTAAAAAATGTGAGGTCTGCAGAGAATTGATTTTTAAAAAGTTAAAAACACCCTGAATCTCCTGAAGCCAATCTAAGAAATTAAGCTGCA